GCTGTTTCTAGAAATTAGAATGAAATTCAATAAGTGTATAAAGCTTGTTTTCTAATCCTACAAATAAGATTTTTCTTTCTAAAGGAGTGACTTAGGAGTTTGTCCTAGAGACGCTATATTATTAGAGAATTTTGTTTAGAGATTTGGGCTTAGTAAAACAGTCCGCTAGCTGTTTGTTAGTAGTAACGAATTCGATACTGATCTTTCCCTAGGCATACTGTTCTCTATAGTAGTAGTTCCTAAGGGAAACGTACCTTAACCTCTTAGAATTAGTGTAGTCCTTAATAAGGGAAATAGCTAACTGGTTGTCTACCTAGATATAAATCCTGTTAACTTCTTCCCTAGTAAGTAGTTGAAGCTTAGTTATTAAATTTCGGAGCTAGCAGATTTCTCTGTATGCTTCTATTAGAGCAATATACTCTGCTTTAGTGCTAGAGAGCACGACTTCCTTCTAGAGCTATAATCTCTATATAATTAGAGTGTTGTTAAGAAGTACAAGGGCGCCTAATGTTGATCTTAATAATAAAGGGTTACTAGCAAAGTCTACGTTAGAGTATACCTGAAATTCTAAAGTTTTCTTCTTTCTAAAGACAAGTCCTTTATCAACTATGCTAGCAATGTACCTCTAGAGATGTTTAGCAGCTATAATATGCTTAGGTCCGGGATTCTAAAGGAACCTAGCAAGGTGGTTGACCGTATAGCTAATGTCTAGTCTAGTCTAGTTAGCTAGAAACTGCATTTTACTAATTATAGTATTAAACAGCTAGTAGTCCTAACGGTTATAGGGGATTGTAAGAGGCTCGTAAAGCTTCTTAAGTAGATGCTTTATTGGCTTGCACTAGTCTAAGCTATGCTTCTAAAGCTTCTCTTTAGTATAGTATATCTAGGAGATAGTAAGGTTTCCCTCCTTGTCTTCCTTTAGATAAAGGCCTAGAAATAGGTTAGACGTAACAATCTTAATTATATACTTCTTACGAAGACCTTTAATTAGAGCATCGATCTTTGCCTTAGAGGTTCTAAAGATTTAGAAGTTATCTATATAAAGGAGGATAAGAATACTATTACCTTGCTATAGGCAATAGTTACTCTTTATCCTACTTAGGCCAAGTTAACGAAGAGTGTCTAAAGCATTATAGTGCTAGAGATTAGCGGCCTGCTTAAGGCTATACAATCCTTTTCTAACACAGATAATCTACTTTAGAGGGTGCTTCTTAAACAGGTGCGCGCCTTCTAGAGGTCTAATAAAAATCTCTTTATCTAGAGGGGGATTCAAGAAAGCAGTCTCGATATTAACCTGTCTTCGCTTCTAGTTTTTGTTTACTAAAAGCCTAAGGACAAGTCTAGTAGTAGCTGCTCTTAGTGTAGGAGCATAGGTGTTAATATAGTTAAGACCTTGCTTCTGCGTAAAGCCTCTAGCTATCTATCTTACCTTATATTTATTAATAGAGCTATCTAGCAGGTATTTGATCTTAAAAACCTATTTTCCTATTAGAGGTGTTCTGCCTTTTAGTAGGGATTCGGCTAGAATCCACTCGATTGCACTAGACTTTTTAAGAGACCTTATCTCTTTTATAACGGCTTTTCTCTATTTATCCTAGTTAGGCCTTTTTAGGGCTTTAGCTAGGGTTGTTAGGTTAGCTAGCTTCTAAGCATCTCTTATAGTAGCAGCTATAGTAATCTTAGTAATCTTGCTATAGTTATACTTAGCTACGGCTCTGCTAGACCTAAGTCGTACTTCGGCTTAAGGAGGGTTTAGCTAAGGTAGGTTAGGAGCCCTCTTTCTCTTGCTAGTAGTCTTAGGGACTTAGAAGGGAGTGATTAGGGTGTCTTCTAGTTTAGTAGTATCTGTTTCTTAAGTATACTAATTTTTCTTAGGAGCAGCTTCCTACTAGGCAGCTAGTAGTTCTAGTTAGTGATTTTAGAGTATTGGCTTATTAGCTATAGGTGTTAGCTAAGGTAGTGTTCCTTGCTTAAGTGTACCTTGCTCCCCCTAAGCTATAAGGGAGTCTTCCTAATCTTCCTGATTATAAGCCTACTAAGGCTAAGGGATGCTACCTCTAAATAGCTCCCCCTAAGGTTCTAAAGAGTGCTAAGGTGTTTAGTTATTACTAGGGAATGGTGCTAGGATTCCTAACTTAAATAAAAGGTTAGACTAGGTTTTAAGTACCTAAATAGTCTCCTAAGGGATAGCTAGTCTTAAATACTCCCCCTAAGCTTAAAGGGTACTTAGAAGCTTAGTGAAATTGTCTTTATAGACAAAGTCCTCGTTAAAGGTAACGTATAGAGAGAATCTAATATTATGCTGCTATACGCTATCCTTCTAGTACGGGTTCTAAAGCAGATAGTTTGTTAACGAATTTTCTTAGAATCCAATGAACTAGTAAACGAAAGCTCTTAGTGCAAATTTCTAGGAGTCAAGTCGTTCAACTCCGGATTCGAGGTATTTGAATGCCTTATAGCCAAATCGTCTCGTCTTAGATAGGTTAATGTCTATACTGCCGATATTTAAGTCTGATTCGAAAGCCTTAAGTAGAACTTCCTTAGTTCTTAAGTTTACTAGTCTGTTAGTTAGGTAAATCGAATGCATTACTACAAAGCACTAGCAGTACATTAGTAGGCTAGAGTTAATTATTATTGCTCTTGCCTTAAGTAGAATCGTCTTATTAGACGACTCTGTAATACTATTCTGCTCCGGTGTATATAGTGCAGATACATCCTATCTAATGCTAACTTCCTCTGCAAAATATACTAGATCGTTGTTAGTAAACTCTCCCCCGCTATTACTAAAAATAATCTTAGGGATTTTATTGTATTGCCTCTTAATTCTAGTTATCTAGTTGGTCAGCTTGTTACTACTTGTTACCTTGTCTTTGTTTCGAAGTAATAGACCCTACCTAAGCCTAGTTTTAGCATTAGTTAGGATTATAATGTACCTGTTTCCAAACAGATCAAATGGTTGTACGCTAATAAGGTTAATATAGACTTCGTTAAGGGCTTTTTCTAGTCTGGTTCTGTATTCTCTTAATACAACTCTTTAAGCTCTCGAGAGCTTGTAGGTCTTATAGTACTCGAGTTTAGATATATCAACTTCTTCTAGGCCTAGAATAGCTTCCTTAGTAGCTATTAGGATCTTGTTGCCGACGTAGCCAAGTCTCTAATGCTATCTTAATGTATCCGCTCGTAGTCTAGCGATAGCTAGGGCTAATAGCTGCCCTTTCTAACTCGATTCTAAGTTTAGTTTTAAAGCTGAGCCTAGCATTTTGACTCTAGTATCTTTAAGGGCAAGTACTCCTTATACTTCCTCAACCTTTCTAATTAGCTTACCTTTAAGCATTAAAGTGCCTAAAGGTCTATCTAAGTAAATGCTATATTTCTTCTAAAGACGCTCTACTAAGATTAGGTTGCAATCTAAGTTCGGGGAATAGAGGACGTCTATTAGAGTAATTAGGGTTTTCTTTCCTTTATAGGTTAGGAAGATATTAACAGTTCCTAATCGTAATATACTTGATTTTCCTACTGCTTAGGAGAACTAAACAGGCTTAGTTAGGTGCTTAAGATCGCTAAACTAGCTCTTATTCCCTATAATGTATAGTAATGTACCTATGTCCTAAACTTTTGTATTAGCTGTTAGGTTCTTAGAGCTTGCTATAGCTAGTCCCGGCTTTGCAATAGCTCCCCTAATTAGGCCCCTACTAAGGCCGTCTAGCTAATAGTCTCCCTTATCTTCCGAGTTAGAGGAGGAGTCTAATTTATCTTTGTTATTATTAATAGCACTACTAGATTTGCCCTTTCCTTTGCCTTTACCCTTCTTGCCTTTATCTTTATCTTTATCTTTGCTCTTGTCTTTCTTTCCCTAACTAGGTAGTGCTATATTAGGGTATTGCTTATAGCACTTAGCGTTAGTGTGTTTGTACTTGCACTAAGTATACTAGTCGTTATTATTGCTAATAGCCCCTCTAACAAGCTTTAAGCCGCTAGATAACTGTCTAGGAGGCTTTTCTCTCCTTAGGGACGTTATTATTGCTTTAAGGGAGGAGTCCTTAGCTTTAGGCTTGTTATTATACTTCTAGGATCTAAGCCATTCGTAACTAGAAAGGCCCTAAATAAACAGCATCCTAATAAGCATATTAGGCATCTTAATGTCTAATAACTTTATAGGCGCTTCTATTATTGTAACTAAGCTAGCAAATTGTTCTATCGATGTTTAGAATCTGTTGAACTACTACTAAAAAGATTCGCAGTACTACTAGGTATTCGGATTAGTAAGGGGCATCCTAATATGCCTAATAAGTTTGATAGTATCAAATATGTCTACGGTTACAATAGGCTTGTATAGAGCCTTAATATAGTCGTATATATCCTTAGCTAACTTAGGTGTGTTACCGAAGTCTAGTCTAAGGGCAGGGTCGAGTCTAGTAATAAGTATACCTAGGGCTTAGATGTCTTTCTTCTTCTAGTCCCTAAACATATCTTTGTACTACTAACCGGCTAAGTCCCCTATAAATATACTCTTTAGAGGTGGTTTTATTTTATTAGCCTAGTTAAGTCTATAGAATACTATACTAACTAGGTCCTTTTCTAGAAGAGCCGCCTAGAATATAAGCTTCTAGTCTTAGAAGTTGATTCCCTTCCTAAGAACCTAATTCTCCTTTGCTGTCTTTGTCTAATTAGTGTCTATCGTTCCTAGCTGCCTTTTAGTATAGTGCTAGGCAGGGCTTGTAAGGGACACTTGCTAGGTTTTAGTCCGAACTAGAGCTCTTAACTAGGTACCTAATAGGTCTAGATAGCTAGCTCTGTTTAGTAGACTCTAGAAACAGTTCTTTTATAGTTAAACTAGACAGGTAAGCGTATACGCCGGGCTTATAACCTGTTATAAATCGTACTAGGGATACAACTAATTATCGGATTAATAACTATATAACTGTACGAAGAAGGATTAGGAGCCAGCTACAGAAACTGCAGTTAATATACCTATTGTGTGTCCTTCCTCTTAGTACAGGTCAGCTGATGGTATCAGCTGACCAGCATATCACCTGACTGAACCACAACAGATGAGGACAAGGTCAAAGCCTTCCATAATGATACAGGTCGAGAGAAGGATTGACCACCCGACGGCCTTGGGGTATGTCTTCAGACCTTGGAGAAGGGTCATTGAAGTCTCGCTAGCCGTCGCTTTCGCGGCCTCCTCAGCGGTGGAGGCATCGACATGTGGGAGTCGGCCAGTGTCTTGGACAGTGGTCCTGTGTTGAAGATGTAGGATGTAGATGTAGATGTTCATGAAGAACGCCATGTGGCAGAGGACCCTCGCCGGGCCGATCTCTGACCAGTCGGCGCTCGTAGAGGACAGTTGAGTGGCGCATGGTATCTCGGTGGTCGTCTGCTAGCTGCAGCCCTCTCGACGCACATGATTGCGTCCAATGAGTGAGTAACTCTCCGTCGGCCCAGAATCCAGCCAATCAGAGCGGTCAATGCTCATCACTGCGCCGGCGTCTGACGGGACAGTGCATGGCAATGGGATGAGCATACACAAGAGTACTATCTCCATCTCTTCTGCCCAGAGCAACAAGACTTGAACTGGGTGAGTATCGTGGTGCCATCGATCCCCAGACTTGCGAACCGATCACCTTCTCAGGACAATGAAGAGACCCGGCAGGCCATTTACGAAAATGCGATGACCTTCTGGCTAGAGAAGGGTTGTGATAGCTTCCGCGTGGACACAGTCAATATGTACAGCAAAGATTCGGCCTTCCCCGACGCACCAATTACCGATCCCAAGGCCGAGTGGCAAGAAGCGGGTCTGGTCTATTGCAACGGGCCTCGGATGAATGAGTATCGTATGGAAATGAACTCGATACTGAGTCGCTACGACGCTATGACTGTAGGCGAGTGTCCTTTCACGCCAGACCCAGAGCGGGTCCTCGGCTACGTCAGCGCATCCAAGAAGCGTCTGAACATGGTCTTTCAGTTCGACCTTGTCGATGTTGGCCAGGTCTATTGGGTACTCTTTATAGGTCATTCGCGCGCACAGAAATCTCGGAACTTGACACATGGGCTGGTTGAGGGCAGGTTCACGAGCGCTTCTACGCTATCACATGTCAACGTTCCATTGTGCTGCCTCCTCTAACGACGACGACAATCGAAGCTGATCCAGACATTCCAAAAGCCATTACCCAAGGCTTCGAGCAAATCGCACGACCTTTCAGGCACATTGACGAAGAAAAACTGGCAGCAGGAGTTAAGGGGCAGGATCTGCTGCACTGCCGTCTCTCTTCTCTCTTTACACTCGTTTTGGTTCGCAACGTTCGGTAGTCAATCTAAGGTCGCGGATCGCACATGCAGCAAGCTGATCTCATCATCACCAAGCACTGGCTCAGGATGCTGATCTGGCAAATGGCAATCTCGAACTGCTTACTTTCTTCCGACCGCTCTGAGCACTCCATGTCACTGCTCTTCCCCGTCGATGTCTCTGCACAGCCTTGATCGTCAACATGGCCAAAGGTGCAATCGAGGTGCATGGCTCTGGTATACAACAGAAGTTATTCGAACTCACGGATACGATTGGCGGTGCCTGCTTCCTCACCAGACGAGAAGAGGCAGCGAATGGATGATTTCAGATTCCTTTTTGAATTCTGGAAACCTCTGCCGCGACCGAATGCAGTGCAGAGAGAACTCCCTAAGAGCAAATTTCGGAGACTTGTGGAAATTGGGCTGTGATAGGAGGAGTTTGGATTTAGTTTGTCCGATCTAGAACGGTTGGAAAGAGCCTGACAGAATGGTCAGAAAGGGCCCAGCTGCCACACAAAAACAAAAGCTCCTTGCGCTCAATCAGGAAGGGGCAGAAACGGAGATGGGCTGCTGACTGAAACAGTAGATCAGGACTTGTCGTCTTGGTCAACGGGTGCTCCAAAGCCAAGAGCACTCTGCGCAACAATGGCAAGGACCTCATCAGCGGCACGAATAGACCCAGTGACTCCAAAAAAAGGCTAAAGCCGAAAGATCTCAATGCCCTTCACGATCATCTTTCTATGAAGCGACAAGCTATCTCGCACGATCCTGATGCGTAACTCCGAATTCATCCCAAGCTATGCAATGTCCTTTCCACCCAGGTCGGGTCCAACGAATGCATTCCAAATCCTCCTCAGCACATCATTTATCACTTCTCCCCATCAGCGTCATCCTGAGCTTCAAAACGGGCGGATTTGGGGTTGGCATCCTGAGTTTGGGATTGCTTGCGCTTCTTGGATGGGTCGTTGGCTTCTTCGCCCTGGATAATGTGTTAGCCAAGAACGAATCACTTTCGATGGTTGAGAAGACGACTTACCTCGGCCTCAGCAGCTACTTCTTTTGCTGCGTGAGCGCCTTGCTCTTGCGGCTCCGGGTCTTTGTCGCCAGAAACCAAGTCTAGACGTGGAGCAGTCTCAGCCTCTTGCTTCGCAGAGCTTCCCTCTTCAAGCGGCTCGACGAACTCTGGAATTGCTTCCAAACCGGTCCCATCTCGCTTTACCGTCCCATCCTCCTCCTCCCCCTCCTCCTCTTTAATCGGGGCGCTCTCACCAGCCGTTGAAGAAAATTCCTCTCTCTTCACCTCAGCCTCTTCACCTCCCTCCACCTTAATTCCCGTCCCTTCCTCTACCTTCGAAAGCGCGAGAAAAGCTTCAATCGCCTCCTTCGCACGATAATGAAAAATAAAACTCGCAACAGGATTCTCCACTCCCGCAACATCCGTGGTTCCAAAAGTCGAAACCGCCGCGGTTTTCTGCGGAGCAGTGAACCCAACTTTCTGGCTGACTTTCCCCTTGCCTTTCTCTGCGATTTGTCGAACGCTCGAGTAGCTTGAAGGTGGCGAAAAGCCGATCGACTCAGCGAGATTGACGTGAGAGACGACGATTTTAATCGTTCCTAGCTCTGCGAGTTCGCGGTCGCTGTAGTTGTACATGCGAGGAGGATGTGGGAGATCTCCCGAGAGGTCTGGCTCGGAACTCATGCTTGGAGTGATACTGATCTCAGACAGTATACGTCGAGGTCGAGATGGTGCCGAGCTTGCAGATCTCGATGCTTGTCCAACGGAGGAGGTTGGTGGCGTCGGCAAGCCGGTCGACATTGGGGCGGAGCTTGAAGCTCGAGAGATTGCCGAACGCATCGAGGTCGAGCGAGAGGTAAGAGATGTCGTGTTCTCTGCAACAGCGACCAGATCCATGAAATGATACTTCCGAACCTGGCCTGGAGAGACGTGCATTCCTTCGCTCTTCTCCGTCCAGCCTCCTGGGATGACGGAGAGGACTTGACTGATGAGTGGTGTTTCGATGTATCTGCCATCAACGAAGATTTTGAAGGCGAGTTGACTGCCGTGGAAAGTTGTGGAGGGGTCGGCGTTCATCTGGATCTCGAAGACTTGGTTGGATTGTGCTTCGACGAGACGGTCGGTGGTGCGTGCGACTTGGTCTAGGTCTGGGAGAATGTGTTCTGGTAGGGCTTGGTCGTTGATTGTGATGGTGACGGTGACGCCTGGGAGATCGGTGGAGATTGCCATGGCGATGGACAATTGTGCTGTTGGAAAAACCTTGGAGCGACAAAGATGGGCTTTTATAATCAGCAACATGGGGCTGCAGGCTACGAGTCTTTCATGGATGTTTCCATGTCTCACCCGCAAAGGCAAAGTAATGTGATTTCTGGACAAAGGACTCTTTGCGGAACTGAGGGTTCTCGAGATGTGTCTAAGAAACTAGCATATTCTGCATGTCTCGCAGACACGCAAACGAAATAATTTGCACGCAGGTGAAATATGTGCAGGTGCCACCTGCCTTGTCTACTCCAGGCGCAATAGGTGATGCCCACAACACCCCAATTCTTTTGCCAATTTCATGAAAACAAACATGCTGACCCAATAGGGCAAATACCAGGTGTATCCGGCCACCACTTTCTTTTCTTACCGGGTCGCTCCTGTCCGCTGTAGACAGGTGTCACCATACACCTGTGGGCAGGTCTCGTTTCGACAGTGTAGAGCTGGGCTTGCCGGCTGGTGAATGATGTGTGGGGATGTTGAGGGAAAGGTGTAGACTTGACGCGCGCCACTTCAGCTCGATAGGTGACGCCTTGATTTTGGTTGGAGAGGGCAGCCAGCGTAGGGACTCATGCCTATGGTCCTGCCACAAAGGACGTCATAGCTGGCAATGTATTCGAGATCTGAGGCGACAGGTACATATAGATGATGACTGTCTGGGCTCTATGGTCCAGTTGTTGTATCAGCCAATCCGACGTGTCTCTCAGTCCCTTGGTCGTCGGCGAAGAGTGTGTATAAGCCATCTCTAGCTCCAGACTGGTATTTTGACGGACATAACGATGTGTGTGATCCCAGCCGAGAGCAGGAGTGTTTTGATGGCAACCATGACGAAGGTCATTCCCCATCTGTCATGTGCGGCCGGCGTTGCTCATGTTGTCGCTTCGAGACACAGTACAGTGGGTTGGCGTTACGAAGATCGGTTGCCTTGCCCATCTCCTCATCTTCACTGGAGTCGGCAAGCTCCTCGAAGTGCCGCAATGCTGTGTATGTCTTCCTGGTTGGCAGGTGATTTGTGTTGGTGAGCGTGAAGATAGAGGATGGCAAGATGGAAGGCTTGGCGATTCTTCATCATCGGACCTTTTGTTTCACCGCTTTCCGGTCCTCCAATCAATCAATCACACACACTCCACCTGCCCAAAGCAGCTTCCTATTGCAGGCTCTTTCCTCAACCTCTATAATCGGAATACTACGCCATCGAGACCTCACACGAAACTCCTTGGGTAAAGAAATCTTTCCCTACGCGATACTACACACAGAAGACCCGAGAACCGGAGGTCAATAGAGGAAAGAAAGAACTTACACGTATAGAAGGCAGAAGATACCGTATAAAGCGCCTGAGAAGGAGGCAGCTCGCACGGGACCTTGCGAAGCTATACGAGATAGTATAGCAATAGATTAGCTTGAATACTAGCAAGAATATAGAAGTCTTCATCGCTCAACTTTAGGTAATTAGCAGTGATTATTCAAATACAGCAGTACACTACAAATTCTATACAAAGGCAGGAGAGCCGTGCCTGATACATACAAAGAAAAGAATAGAAAAGAAAATTCTAGGCCGTAAGTTTTTTTAACACATTATCTCTCGATTCTCGTTCTCTTCTTCAAACTGCGTGTTTTATCCATGCCTGAGATTATAGGACCCAATGCATCCTTTACAAGAAAAGAGCGCCCATGGCGACAGCGGCCATGAGAGGAGCAACGGTCTTCAATGGAGCGGCGGCACCGGTGTATGGAGTGAGGGAAGTGGTGCTGGAGGGGGTGCCTGGCATGGTACCGCTTGGCCGGGAGACGGTGGATGGCTGCTGGACTGGGACTGTGGATGGCTGCTGGACTGGGACTGTGGATGGCTGCTGGACTGGGACTGTGGACGGCTGCTGGACTGGGACTGTGGATGGCTGCTGGACTGGGACTGTGACGCTGGATGTTGGTGGAGTGACGAGGTAGTAGCATCCGTCGACCAACTGACAACTCTGACCGGCAGGATAGGCGTGAGCAGGGTTACAAGAATAGCGGCCGTTCTTATCGGTGCTGCCTGGCGCGGGGCACGAAGGAGTGGCGGATGGAGCGGAGACTGGGATAGTGTTGGTGACAACACAGCCGCCAGCGCATGGAAGGGTCAAGGTGGTGGCCGAGGTAATAATGTATGTTGATGGTCCGTGGGTGAAAGTGGTTGGCTCAGGGCAGTAGGTGGTCACCTCGGTGACGACCTTGGTGGTGTACGATGGCTTGGGCTTGACGATGATCGGAGTGGTGGTCACATTGGTGACGACCGTGGTGGTGTACGATGGCTTGGGCTTGACGATGATCGGAGTGGTGGTCACATTGGTGACGACCGTGGTGGTGTACGATGGCATGGGCTTGACGATGATCGGAGTGGTGTACTGTGGTGGCGAGGAGGTCACTGGCTTGGTGGCGGTGCAGCCACCCTTGCATGGGAGGGTAATAGTTGTAGCCTTAGTGACAGTGTAGGTCGTTTGCTGGTGGGTGAAAGTCGTTGGCTGAGGGCAGTACGTGGTGTATGCGGTCTGCACCTCCGTAGTGTAGACATCACCGCCAACGAGGAAATAGCAGCCCTCAACCAATGCGCATGTTTGTCCCTTAGGATACGCATGAGCCGGGTTACAGCTGTATCGGCCCTTAGAGTCGGTGCTGCCTGCGGCTGGGCACGAGGTGGTCGGGGTTGGGGAAGATGCTGGCTTGGTGGCGGAAGCAGTGGAGGTGAGGTTTGCAGTGGCCGAAGCGCAGTAGCTGCGAATGCGTTCAGCGTCCTCGCCAGCGCAGGTGGTCAGGTCGCAAGAGCACTTGACCTGTGGCTGACCAGCAGCAATGCACTGCTTGTATGCCGCCTGGCACTTGTCGACGTAAGCCGAAGTGGTTGGGGCGCTGGAAGTGCCAGTGGTTGTGACCAAGGTGAGCGAGCCAGAGATTGTAGCACAAATTTGGCCAGGGGGATACTGATGCGCAGGATTACAGGCGAATGTAGTAGTTGGCGCTGGAGCAGAGGTCGTAGTGACCAAGGTGAGCGAGCCAGAGACTGTAGCGCAAATTTGGCCAGGGGGATACTGATGCGCAGGATTACAGGCGAATGTAGTAGTTGGCGCTGGAGCAGAGGTCGTAGTCACCAAAGTAAGCGAGCCAGAGACTGTAGCGCAAATTTGGCCAGGGGGATACTGATGCGCAGGATTACAGGCGAATGTAGCGGTTGGCGTTGGAGCAGAGGTAGTGGTGACCAAGGTGAGCGAGCCAGAGACTGTAGCGCAAATTTGGCCAGGGGGATACTGATGCGCAGGATTACAGGCGAATGTAGCGGTTGGCGTTGGAGCAGAGGTAGTGGTGACCAAGGTGAGCGAGCCAGAGACTGTAGCGCAAATTTGGCCAGGAGGATACTGATGCGCAGGATTACAGGCGAATGTAGTGGTTGATGGAGGGGGTGCATCGTAGTAGGCCGGAGCCTCCGAGGCAGCGACAAGGCCAACGAGGGCAGCGAAAGTGGCCGACTTCATGTTAGTCGATATGAGTGTTGGGTAACGATTGACGAGTTGTCCTGGATGGTGATGGGAGTGTCACAGGAGGACAGGCCATGGTATTTAACTCCTGCATGCATCTTTTCAGACGGCGAGATTAAGTTAATGCCATGGGGGTGGATATTTTACGACCTTAGAGCCTTGGTCCAGTCAGCACACCATTCGTACAGCGTCAACGCACATCCGAGTGAAAGTGGATACTAGCGGCCCGTAGAATCTGCAAACCCTTGCTCCTCATGGATTATAGCGAATAGAAACTGGTTATTCAGCGGTCCCACCCTAGTCACTTTCGCTCCGATGTGGTAAGATGCTGTACGTGCTAGAAGACAGAGCCAGGGCATCTTGGGCGGCGAGAGGTTAAAATTGGAGAAGGTCATATCCGACTAAGAGAGGAATACGGGCGGCTATGGCTCGTGTGGAGCGGGAGTCTGTCACGGCGCCACCTGTGGAGGTTAGGGTTGCCGGCGACGTGGTGCTCCATCAATAGCGTCACTTCAGGCACTCACAGCCTGTCTTGTTCACCAGATCGGAGCATAAGGAGCACGACTCCGCGGTGCACAATGCAATCGGATGTCACTGCAACGCAGCAAGACTGCAGAATGACTGCTTCCGTGGATTGCTGGAGGATGAACCTCCTGATCCTTTGCATGCATTGAGACTTGCCGGACCAGAATCTGCTTGGCGTAGACCTGACTAACAATAGAGAGGGCTGGAGAAGGCTGAGTCGCCGCATCGTGTATCTCGGTAATCGCATGAACCGAAAGCCGCAAGTCTGGGAAGGACCATTTCTACAAGGCGAAGCTTCGGATGGTGAGGCCATGTGCGTTAGTCAGAGCTGCTCGGCGGATACATGTAAACAGGAAGCGTGGCAAGCTAGCGCAGGTACAATTGATGCAAGGCAGTGGCGATGGCTCGTGTTCGTCCAGGATGTCGCTACGGGGCCAAGGCTCCGACATGCCAACACACAAACACCGATATTTCGCACGTCGTATAACTTACCATCACATGGGCTCCAGTCTCTCGCGCTCGCCGTCCAAGCGAAGCGAGATGCAGCCTCATGCAGGAGATGAAGAGAAGAATCTTCAAATTTGACGTCACCTCGCCCCTGCCTTGCCAAGACTCAGTTCCTGCCTCAGGCTGTACGAGTACAATGCGATTGCTATCGCGATCGCCATGGCGGTCCCCGACCATCTCCGCGGAGTGATGCACTGTCGTTACGGGAGACTCCGAGACAAGCAGTGCCATAGACGTGGCTATTGGTGGGATCTGTTCGCTAAGAATCTCCGGTCTAACTTACAAAGGGGGGCCTAGCTTCGGCTTCTTACCCTTACTTATAGTATCTACGCTTTTATCCTTCTACTTCTTTAGTAGCGGCGCTATATCGTTAGTCGCTCTTAGAAAACAATAGCTCGATATAACGTCGCTTAGTAATAGCGCTTATAATAGCTTCGGCGCCTTTGTTAGTATAAGAATAGCGTTTAGATATATATTCTTAAAGTAAGTAAGAACGAGGTTAGTAGGGCCCTTTCTAATATTATCGCTAGACTTATAGAAGACTATTAGTATCTTTAAGATAATAGCCTTACGCTTTACGTTAGTCTTATCGAGACCTTCCCTATCGTATAAGCGCTTAAGTTAGAAGATTAACTCGTATACGTTATAGAGCGTCTTACGTACGTTAAGTCGATAGATAGATATATAAGGCGCCTTAATAGCGTCCTTATATTATACCTCTATCGAATTAGCGGTATCTTCTTCGTAGACTTTAAAGGCGCGTCTAGTAGATTTATTTACCTATTATTACTAGTACTAATCTTTAATAATAACGCGTCTAAGTATAATATAGTAGTACTAGAGGTTAGCGTAAAGGATACGATATTAGTAGAAGAATTTATAGTCGTAGGCAAGCGCGCCTACCTCGGTAGCTAATAGCTATAGGTTATAGTATACAGACTTATCGTTTACGAGATTAATTTAAGCGCTAAATCTAAAGACTAACGCTATATAGGCTATAGTAGGCGTAGAAGCTAGGTATAGAGCTCTTCGTTATTACTACGCGTAAGAGGGTATATATTTAAAGCCTATTATCGCGAGGTAATATCTAACCGAAGGTCCTTAACCTAATCTTTATATAGGCACTATACCGCTACCCCTTTAAGTATAAAGTCCGCCGCTATTAGCAACTTATTGCCGTCTATTTTAAGATACGCGTAGAAGCTCTTATTTGTATTTATGTCCTTATATTAGCTAACGATAGTAGGTACGTTATAGACGTAATAGTAATTAGCCTATAGCTAAATATTACTACTAAAGTTACACTCTTAGTAGGTCTTATTAGACTCGTAATCGGCGTTCTTTAGAAGGTAATCGATAGCGGCTTATAGCGACTTTTATATACTTACGAGTAAGCGACGATAAATAATAGTAGCGCGGAAGTATCGACGTGTTTCTTAGTAGATTTTAGCGCTAAAATATCTATCGAATCTCGATAGTACGCTATACGTATACGTAGTAAAGAAGCTATATTATTAATAGAAATACTATTTAGATAGCGCGTCGCTCTACCGCCGAGTCGTCTATAAGGAGGAATTTAGGTAGCTATTTACTACCTATCTACTCGCTTACTATATATAAAAACTCTATAATAATGTCGCTATTATCTATAGGCGAAAGTATATATACTACTATACGTAATATACTATATTTATCCTTTGTTATAATAGTATAAAGGAGCTAGCTAGGGTAGTTAGTCTTATATATTACGTCTATAAAGGCGATCTTAGTATAGTATTTAAGCAATTCTATACTAGTTTTAGACGCAAATACGACGCTATAGGTAGTTTTACCGTCGATTTAGCGTATAGCAGTTGTATTCTTATTAAACAGCTCTTTTATAGTAATATATTAGTTATTATTATAGTAGAAAACTAAAATTAAAATAAAGGAACCCCGCGGAATCTAAGATTTAGGGTTCGGGCTTACTAAGGTACGCTAGAAGCCGGACCGAGATTCTACTATAGGTTTTAAAAATCCTAATTAGCTTAAAGCTAAGGCTCTGCGGCGCTAACCGCGCTCCCGCTTTAACTAAAGAACTTTAAAATTTTCGAGGTTCTTTAAAATTCTAGTTTCTAAGCCTAGTATTCGCTAGTAACCGAGTCTAATAGCTTTCTCGAGGGAATAGATAAGCTAAGCGGGGTTTAGCGCTAGCCTATTAGCTAATCGGAGTCTAGATACGTAGACGCGACAGTCCGTAGGCTTATAATCTAACCTTAGTAAAAGTAATAATATTAACTTATCTTATTAATACTACTTATATAAGTCTTCCTTTTACGCCTACTATACTAGCGACGGCTACGATACGCCGCCGAGCCTACCGTCCTTATATATATGCCTTTCGAAACGCTCTATCGGAGTTTAGTACGTTATACTTTATTATAAAGTCGCTACTAGCGGCCTTAAAGAGCGCGTTTACGACTAGGTCGTATACTATCTTTAATACCTTCTATACTAAGCTCGGCGTATATCTATAATACATCTCTCGACCTATAGTAGTTAGTAACGCGCTATACTAACGGTCTATAGAAGAGGTCGAAGTTATCTAATTTATAGTAGTCCGAGTAGTCCTTGCGACTAATATACTATACTTAATATACGATAATCTCTTTACTACTATTACTACTAGTCGGACTATAAATACTTATAACCCTTATTATAACTAGATAGTAACGCGCTACTTCTATCTTCTTATCGTTTCTTCGCTAACTAAAGCCCTACTTCTAGTCTAATTTCTAGTACGGGTTACTATACGGTTGTTTATAAATTATAGAAGTAGTAAATAAAACGCGTTATTTCTAATCTATTTTTCTCGACGTTAACCCTATTCTTTACCTATATATTATCGACGTATAGTAGTAGCGCGTACTGTTATTTAGCCTATACTTCGAACAAGTCGTAAAATCTATAAAGAATAGCTCGTTTATACTATTTATAGAGGTTATCGATATACGGTAAGGAAGCGTATATAGTTTCTAGGCCTATAAGAACCTAAGAGGCTAAGAAATACGCTTATAGTATAGCGTAGAGGACTCTAATAAAACTAACGCGTTTTTATTACTAGAATTAACTATATCGTCCTCCTCTAATACGTCTATTAATATATTAGCGATTCTAACCCTCCTACTACTAAGCGAAGCCTACGTACTATTCTCTAACCTATTCTCTAACGCGAAATCGCTCTAAGCCTATAAGGTAAGCATACTATTACTATCTCCGACGAGGTCGCTAATAGTAGGTATTTTTAGTAAATAAGGCTATATTAGAAGAGATAGAATTAATAATATAATACTAGTATAGAGGGCTAAGTAGCGAGTAATAGTAAGGTTAGAATAGGTATATAAAATACGCGCTTAAATAATAGAAAGCGCGTCGACGCGCTAGAGCGGAAGCGTATACAATCTATATCGACCGCCGCTCGCTAAGGTCTGTAAAGGCTATTCTTAGCAGGTTAGGCGCACGACCGCTAGTACGGTGTTACACTAGAGGCACATTTAGTACCGTATACGTCGCTAGTCCGTATATACGGCGTCGGTAAACAGGCCAAGGTCCGCCCGACTTCTACTACGTATAACGCGTTCTATTATTTTATTTATATTCTTCCGTATCGCTATTACCGGCTCTTTTATCGTTTCTATTACTAAGATTGCTAGTATTTATCGATATTGCCCCCTCTTTGTACGATATAGCTTCGGTTCTATCGAACTTAGTAGTACTACTACTGCTAGCGGTAGAGAGAATGGCGGAGGCTACCTAGGGCGATTTTATACTCGAGGGCGACGAGGATACGGCGGACGCGCCTAGAGAGGAAGAAGGCGACGATTTTAGTAAGGAAACTAGTAATAACTCCTCTAATAAACGCCCTCGGCATAGTACGAAGTCCCGTATATTAAAACCGCTTAAAAGTACTATATTCGCGTACCTCCCTTACGTCGACGACTTTAAATACTAGCGCTAGCGGTATATCCTACGCGACGCGTTAGACTCGTTCGTTCTATTAGTAAAAGATTAGTATACGCTTAAACTATACGTCGATAATATCTAGGTTATCGATAAGGCGTAGTATTTTAAACGTAATAGTACCGAGACGACGCGCTATAGTTGTCGCTTCCGTAAGATAGAGGGTTAGAAGGCTAATAAGTCGAAGAGTCGGCACTTAAATAAGAATAAGAAAAAGATAGAGCCGGCGCGTAGTTATCCTATAATAATAAAGGTTATTAGTATCTATAGTTAGAATAAGAAAATAGGCGAGGAAGAGATAGTATCGTATCGTATTTAACGCGTTAGTCGTAAAGAATACTACTAAGATTGCTAACTAGATAACTTTAATAATTTCCGACAGTACGGCGCGCTCTTAAGTATAGCTAGATATAAGATCTGCTATAAATACCGCTCTTCGTAGGTATACTATTATTTAAAGGTATAATACGACCCGATCGCGTACTAGCGCTTTAAGGACGCCGGTAGCTTATTCTTACGGAAATACGATATACTTAATTCTAGAAGGAACTTCCTTACTATATATAAGTCTAGCAAACTCGGCGGCGCGTTACTCGTATAGCAAACTTAGTAAAGAGACGTATTATAGTAATATAAATAGTATAAGTTAAATTTATATTATTATCTCGACTATAGAGTAAGGTTAGACTTCTGCTCGGCGGACCGTCGCGCCCGTATATCCGGACTCCGATTAACTAATAGATCGATACGCAATCGCGTCTAGCTTATTAAATCGATAGTAATCGATAGAGGAAGATATTAGACTCGGTTGCCTACGATTTCTTTACGAAAAGCTAGAATCTTAGGACTTTAAAGTTCTTCGCTTAAAGCGGTAGCGCCGTAGAGCCTTAGCTTCGAGCTACTAAGATAATTTAGAAGCTCCGGTAATAGCTCGGTCCGGCTTCTAGCGCGTCTTAGTAGGCCGAATACTAAACTTTAGATTCCTTTGTTTTAATTTTAGTTTTCTATTATAACAATTACTAATTTAACGCGATAGTCGATTATAAATACGAGATAGTATTAGTTAAAAGATAGATCGATAGCGAGATTGCGTATAGTATCGTATTTGCGTCTAAAACTAGCCTAGAACTACTCCGATAGCACTAAGTTATCGCTTTTATAGATGCTATATATAAGACTAATTCCCTAGGTTAGTATCTTTATACTATCTATATTAAGGACAAATATAGTATAATACGCGCGGTAGCTTATATACTATCTCCTACTAATAATAGCGATATTGTCGCTACCTTCCTTCGTATAATAAGGTACTAGTATAGGTAGTTTCTAATTTATATACTAATAGACGACTCGGCTACTAAGCGACGAGCTATTCGAATAGCGTTTCCTACTACTAAATACCTCCTTTACTACGTCTACGTCTAGCGTACTATTAACCGTTACTTTAGTACCAAAATCTACGCCGAGACGCGTCGCTATATTAAAGCTACAGTTATCTATCGTTAGTCGCTCGAAGGCGCAAAAGAGTTACTATAAGCCGCTATTTCGAGCCTTCCTCGAAACGCCTACTACGAGAAGAACAAGCTATATTTAGAGGTAGAAATAAGCAAGGATATCGCGTTATAGGTAAACTACTTTCGTATATTTAATATACTACCGATTATCGAGCAAAATAAGGATACTAATATAAACGAGAGCTTCTACGCGTGCCTTAAATTAGACGAGAAGTCGCCTATAGCGGCGGACTATTTACTAGTTAGCGTTGTAAAATACTACGTATTCTAAGAAGTCGCTAATAAAGACCTCCGCTCTTTCCTTATCGAGCGCCGCTAGACTATTAATATATATTCTCTTACTCGTAGCAACAACGACGAGCTTAGAAAATACCTTCTATACCTACCGTAGCCTATATAGCGTAAGGTTAGCGCTAAGATTAATCGCGCTAACGATTCTATAGTATTCTACGATCCTATCGCGCTTGCCGAGTACGACGCGTCCGGTATACTAACTTACGACTATCGCTTCTTTAGGCAATAGCGCGTCCTTTGCTTCTACCTTTAGTTTTATTATATTTAGCTCTACCGTACTCTTATTAAAGAGCGCTACTAGTATTACTAGATTAGTATATTTAAAGGGCGTAGACTCGAGATCTATAAGACTCTAATAAAGGCCGACAACCTTACTCTATAAGCCGATATAACCGCGATAGCGATAGCGACGGCGGCTATTATTAACGATAGCTATCGTCTCGAGATCCGTAAAATAATAAACGACTATTACGAGATAATCTTTAAATTAGAGCGTAAGTACGACGAAGAAGGCCTTAACGACGACGATATTAAGCGCGCTACTATAATACGAGACGCCGTCCGTATCTTCTATAAGGCTAGTAACGATATACGGCGCTAGTTTACTAAGTTGTTTATAAGCGCTTTTAATAAATAACGACCTAACCGTAAAGTTACGCTTTCTAAGAAGCTAGCGCTATCGTAGAAGCTACTCGCTAATAATATAATATCGTAATATTATTACCCTCTTAATCTACCGCCGGTAGACGCGATATAGAGTAAGAATAAGAGCTAGAAGCGTAAGAGGTCTAATAAAGAGGCAGAACTATTATATATACTATTAGGAATACTATATATAATAAATACGCGTATATTTAGTCCTAAGCCGCGGCTAGCGGTTCTAGTTAGTACTATCGCGTATTCCGCGCCGCTTACTACCGCGGTAGTAACTTATAGTCCTTATATGCCTCTACCGATACTACCGGCGCTAAATAGATAGTAAGACGCGCCTCCGAGCGCGATAATAGTCTATAGCGGTATATCTTATATACCGCCGCTCTCTAATATATATTAACGCTATTAAGATAGCTATAATTGCTAACTGTACCTCGAATTTTGCTATACCGCTATTTTACTAATAAACTTTAGCTTTATTTTTAGTAATATAATTAGTGTCTATTAGTAGAGATAGCGGGGTCGTTAAAATCTATTAAAATAGTACGAAATCTATTAAATTGCGACCGTACGACCTCTTGCTATCGATAGTTAGTATACTAGCGGAAATCGTACTACTACGCCCCCCTTATACCGTCGACCTAGTAATAGCGACGCGCGCCGAGGACGAGATTACGTTTTCTATAGTTACGCATACTACGGCGCGGACTTCTACATCTCACCGAGTCCGTTGCGGAAGGCCGACGGTATGTGGGCCTGCACCGTGCATGCGGTATTATATTCGGTCCCGTTATATTCAGGTCCGCAAAGGGATGCCACTTTTGCTTACTAAAAAGACTCCCTCCCAACGCGCACCCGCCAATCAGGCTGCAAACCCGGTTTCCCATTCTTGTGCAGAGAAGCGCCATGATCTTCTGTCGATCGATGTCAAGAAACAAAACTTCCATACATCGCATGGGAACGCGGAAAGACTTGGACCAGAGGATAGTGTTGCACGTCCAGCTTATATTAGGAAATTTGTCGTCCAAGGACCAGCATTCAGCCAGGCATCTGGACTGTGGGAATTGGTTTAATTCATCTGGGAGATACCATTAGTCAGGAGATAAAGGCGGACCGAGACAGGCTCTGCTTGCTGGCTGCTCGTAGATGTTAAAGACCAAGATGGCTCATAGTGCTATGCCAGTAAGAAATGCCAGTCAGCGACAATGAATACTTGGCATTCATCTAGTTGTACTTATTTTAGTAGTGAACGCAAGCAATCTTCAAGATCTGCGCAGCAGCCAAGCAATATACCCGAGTGAGTATCCTCCCTCCATTTCTTGCCCAGGACCGTATCAGGGAACAAGAACCAGAAGCAGTGCGGAGCGCCTTCATACACGCTCAGCTTCGTTTCCACGCCCCGTTGCCGCAGCAAGTCGTGGTAAATAATACCATCATCTCGGATCATATCCGCACCACAAGTCTGCACATAAGTCCGCGGCCAATCGACATGCTTCTGAGGGTCCAGAGCAGCACGATAGTCAGCAGTAGTCCAGTCCGCAGCAGGACAGTCGGAAAACGCCTTTGCGCTTTTGGCGCTCAGCATTGGCGAGTTCTTGCAGAGGTCATCATAGCGAGAGCGGTAGACGTGCTTGTATTCTGGCGGGAGGTTGTCAGGATTGAAGTAGGAGCCAGCACTCAAGAGAGCTCCGGTAAGAGGTGGCTGTAACTTCTCATTACGAGCTCGTAGCTGCAATGCTGCTGCAACGACACCACCAGCACTCTCGCCACCAATCGCAAAGCCCAATGCAGGATCACCACCGAAGATGGAAGCTTTTCCAGCAATGTGTTTGAGAGCATACCATGAGTCGTTGATGCCGACGGGATACTTGTGCTCCGGAGCAAGACGATACTGCGGCGCCACCACAACACATCTCTCCCTCAACGCGATCTCGCGGTTCATTGCTGCGTTTGTAAATTACCATGCGCAATTTCGGTCCGTCGTTGGTCTGGAAGGCATCGAAGTGGCCATTCTGCTCAGAGTGAGGCCTGAGTGTGCTTCTTGAAATCTGCGCAATGTGCCTGCCAAGGCACACCGTGTCCGCTCCCACCAGATCGGGATTGCAGTGTGGCTGCGGCTAATCCGTGAGCAACATTTATTGAGAATCGCCCACAATGCTGCTCATATCGTATGGAAGACAGGATCTCAGCGTAGCAGGGCAGGGCTACTCCTGACAACGCCGAGCTTTGTCAGAGTGGTACACTTTTCTCTTCTCTAACCACCCCATCCCATCCCATCCAGATCTCAGCATCGGAGAAACCGCCTTCTTTCTACGGAACATGTCTTCCCGCCCGTTTGCGATTGAACAGAAAAGGCATGCTGACACATTAAACGTTTGATATCGAAAGCATGCAGCATTCTGCTGGGTACTTACCCGATGCAGGTGCACTATCCGAGGAAGGGTGCAAAAGGCGAGCCACCGGGCAAGAAACTCCTTCATAACTTCCTCGTGATCATACGTGTAACTCCAATCTACATCACAAAAAGAGTGAGCATCGTCGCCAGACTCTGTGTTTGAACAACTACACCGGAAGCAACAAAGATGAAGGGAAAGGTGGCATTCGAAGAGGCATTCGCCCTCCCACGGAACGCAGTCACTACAAAGTGGTGGGCAGGGCTGTTCGCGATTGACCCGGCCAAACACACCAGGGAGATCAACGACGTCAACAAGCTCCGAATCGAGAAGATGGACCAGTTCGGCGTCGGCTACAAGATCCTGTCCTACACAGCACCCGGCGTTCAGGATGTATGGCAACCTGACACAGCCGATGCTCTGGCGCGGGAAGTCAACGATTACATCGCGAGCGAGATCAAGGGTTACGAAACGAGGTTGGGAGCTTTTGCAACCCTGTCCATGCACGATCCGAAAGTCGCATCGGAAGAGCTCCGACGGTGTGTGAAGGAGTACGGCTTCAAAGGAGCACTTGTCAACGACACACAGCGAAACGATGAATCCGGAAGTTCCATGATCTTCTACGATGGTCCGGAATGGGACGTCTTCTGGTCGACAGTGCAAGAACTCGATGTGCCATTCTACCTTCACCCACGAAACCCAACCGGCGTCTTCTACGAGAAACTTTGGGCCCCCCGAAAATGGCTCGTCGGACCACCCCTCTCATTCGCACAGGGCGTCTCCCTTCACCTCCTCGGAATGGTCACGAACGGCGTTTTCGACCGCTTTCCCAAACTTCAAGTCGTCATCGGCCATCTCGGCGAACACCTACCCTTCGACTTGTGGCGCATAAACCACTGGTTTGAAGATATCAAAAAACCGCTTGGATTGGACTGCAAGAAGACGATTCGGGAGTACTTCGCGGAGAACATTTACATCACGACAAGTGGACATTTCTCTACTCCGACACTCGAGTATTGTATTAAGGAGATTGGGGTTGATAGGATTTTGTTTTCGATTGATTATCCTTTTGAGTCGTTTGAGGATGCTTGTAATTGGTATGATGGTGTGACGCTGGATGGGGAAGAGAATGTGAAGAAGATTGGACGGGAGAATGCGAAGAAGCTCTTTAAGCTGGGGCAGTTTAAGGATGATGATGCTTAGATTGATTGGATAGATGTGCTAATTAGAGCGGCCTCTTCTGATACAACATGTTTTTCTGCTTCTACGATTTTCCATATGCGCTATCTACCTCAAGCGATATGATGCACGGGAAATGTGAGTCGATTCCGAGAGCCACGGCGAGACTTTTGAGGTTCGCGTACATGATGTCTGGGTCCGTTGGTTTTGACAGGAATAGCATCACATGCAAGCACAGGAACATACTTCATCCTACCATCCCAACCTGAAAAAATAGACAACAGAAATCCTGTCAAAAAAAGCACCACACCATAATTTCAAAGACAGATACACACATCTCATCAAATTTCAATCTACCAAGCCCCCACATCCCCATCACACTCACTCCCTCGCCACCAAAGCAACATCATACTTCAACTCCCACTCAGCCTCGGGATCCCCCTTCCTAGGTTCAAATTTCACCACCAGCGCATCCTTCACCGCAAACACAGAATCATCTTCCAAATACTTGGATTCCGAATCGAAAATCTGAGTCGTGATGGGTTTGTAGCCGTCGCGGGTGACGATGTAATGGATGTGGGCGGGTCGATAGGGATGGCGGTCCATGAGTTGGAGGAGTTTTCCCGCTGGGCCATCGAAGGGGACCTGGAAGAAAGTAAGTATAGTTGTTAGATTGGATTGAAGTGAGGAAGGGAAAGGAAGGGAAAGAGGGAGGGGATAGTGGGTTGGTTGGGTGCTTACTGGATACGGTGTAGGTCTCAAACAATACAGCGCATATTGCCCCTGTTCATTCGTTTCGAATCTCCCTCGTAGATTGAAGTCCACTTGGTTATCGTCTTGTTGTTCGTACAGCCCGTTGGTCGAAGCTTGCCAGATATCTACGATCGCGTTCGCGAGGGGTTTTCCGGTTTTGGCGTCTGTTACCGTTCCGTGGACGTAGGCGACTTGGCCATCGGAAGGAGTGTTGAAAGTGATTGTACTTCCGAAGGCTCGGAGGGGGGCGTTTTCTCTGTAGAATGGGCCGAGGATTGCTGAGGCTGTGGCTGAGTTTCCGGCTAAGGCTGCTTTTCGCACGGTTATGTCGTCGACGAGGCTTGTGGGGTTAGTTTTTTTTGGATATTTTGTGTTGGGGAGGAGAACTTACGATTCGAGGCCGATTACGTCGCAGAGGAGTTGGCCTTCGTTTCTCTTGTTGTTGCTCATCTGTCCGGCCCAGTTGATGAGCTGGACACCTGCCATCCATTCATCGATGGTGAGATCCACTTCTCGGGCGAAGTCGTGGACATGACGGATTAGGGCGGACATGACCTCTCGAAGCCTGCCGTCCGTCTTTGGGCCCATGGAATTGATGATGTTCTCGGTCCATTGCTTGTCTAGACCGGTCTCCGGTGCGTTTCCATTCGCTTCAGCCATACTGAGTGAGACTTCTTCAAAGTATTCAGAATTTTCGCCGGAAGAAAGGTCGTCTGTCACAGCGGAGGAAGAGATCCAATGTCAGGAAACTCGCAATCTATAGAGCAATAGGAATACAAGCATAAGCAGTCCCGAAACATTCACCCGCACAGTTTGGCAAATCCTGGAACCGACGACCCCTCATCAGCGGCTGCGAAAGTGAAATCTTGTCGGAACGTCGGATCGGCTATCAGCGGTCCGTCGAGTACACCTCCGGTCTGGTTGGTACGCAGTGGTGGTGTTCTGAGTGCATCCAGGGAGCTCGGCCCGGTACCTGTGTTTCCTTGGTCCACGGCAGCAGTCCAACGATCGCTTCTTGCTCACATAGGCAACTTCATACATGATAGACAAAAGGAATATAGGATATCGAGATGACCGTAAGTTGAGCAGCTTCATCATTACATCGCATCTTCAAGAATATTTCTGTCATCATTGTCATTGCCATCGTACGGGCAGATCTCTATATAAGAAAGAGACATTCACTTACTTCCCTGGACGTCATCGATCACACACAACTTGATTGACCTTTCATCAATATGCAGCCGGGAACGAACTGGAAACCGCTCGACATTGCGGTCATTGGTGGAGGCATTGGAGGCTTGGCAGTCTCGATTGCTTTGAGGAGAGACGGGCACAAAGTCACAATTTACGAGCGAGCAGATTTCGCCGGCGAAGTTGGAGCATCGATTTCCTGCGCCGCAAACGGTGTCAAGTGGCTTCGAGAATGGGATGTCGATATCTCAAAGGGTGATGGCGTCTACCTCCGAAAATTGATCAATCGAGACTGGGCGACTGGTGAGCCGGTGTCTGTGTATGATCTTGGAGATTATGAGGAGAAATGGGGGCACCCGTAAGTCATTGATTGAATCGATGTGACCAAGGTGTGGGTCAATGCTTATCGGTTACAGGTATTACATGTTCCATCGTCAAGATATGCATAAGATGTTGATGGATACTGCGATGCAAGAGGAAGGCAAAGGAACCCCTGTCAAGCTTGTGGTGAACCACAAGGTATGAATGAGCCTTCGATTGATCTGACGACCTCACAGCAGCGTACTGACTTCAACCCATAGTGCCAGGACATCAACACCGAGACTGGAGAGGTCACATTCCACAACGGAACACAAGCCAAGCACGACGTAATCATCGGCGCAGACGGCATAGGCTCTCAAGTCCGCAAGCTCATCGGCATCCAAGTCGAAAAGCGGCCTGCCGACTCAAGCTGTCTGCACGCCAACGTCGACACCGCCGAAGCCGTCAAACGCGGCTACGTCGACTACTCCCAAAACTCCGCCATCGAATACTGGGGCGGCCACCACAGCTGGAACAAAATCGTCCTCTCCCCCTGCAACGGCGGCTCCCTGCTCTCCTACTACTGCTTCTTCCCGCGAGAAAAAGGCGACTACTCGGAACAAAAATGGGACGCGGACGCGTCCGTCTCCGAACTCCTCGCTCCATACCCCGACCTCGACCCCAACGGCGTCCACAAACACCTGGAAATCGGAAAAGAAATCCGGCCCTGGCGCCTCTGGGTCCACGAGCCTTACTCCCACTGGCAAAAAGGCGTAGCCTGCATCATGGGCGACGCCGCACACCCCATGATGCCCGACCAAAGCCAAGGCGCCTGCATGGCCCTCGAAGACTCCGCCGCATTAGGCCTCGTCTTTTCCCAAGAATTCTACCCCGGCTCCATTCCCTCCGCTTTGCAACTCTACGAGAACGTCCGACATTGGAGAGCTTCCCGCGTCCAAGCGGCTTCGGCGCGCGCGCGAGAGAATATTCACGAACGAATCGGTTTTACGGATAATACGGACAATCCGCTGTATAAGGTTCAGGATGAGAGGAATAAGTTGACGATTCAGGAGATGAATTCTTATGATATGAGGGAGGATGTGAAGAGTAAGTGGCCTGGCGGGTGGCCGGAGGCGAGGAGTCCGGTGAGGATGGTTAATGGGCTTGATGCTGTGAATGGGGTGAATGGTGTTCATTGAAGAAATAATTTCGAGCCACGGGAGCCTTGTCATCTTGTCGGGAAATATAGCGTCGAGCGTTGCGGCCAGAACTTCTCGGAACTAGCGTTCAGTAGACATGCCTAATTCATTCAATGTTTATCGCCATCGGCTCGGGACTACAGCTACCGATATGCGGGGTTCGACGTAGCGTGAGGAAGTCAGAAGTCAAGCTGATGACTGAGCGAGATATGAATCAGCCTCGGATAGTTCCAGAGGACAAGCTTGGCAAGGGTGTCGAGCTTGGCAGGCAATGGAGGTGTCGGACCGTGCACCTGCTCATCTCCACCGCGAGTCCGCGACACACCGCCGCCAGCCTCGTCGACGACCGGCTGCTCGCTACCCCATACCGCCGCGCGAGGCTCCATATATACGCTTACAGCCCCATAGCCGAATCCTCCGCCTCCGCTCCGGATACCACCCTCCGCCACACAGCTCCAGCGGGGCGGGACGGGCGAAGGTCTGGGCAGGTATGGGCTGATATGCCGCGCCCAAAGGTAGGTTGGTTTGGTGGGCTGGTCTCCAATGACCCTTGAATTCACGAGCCAACCGCTGCAAGGTCAAGCCCCAAGACAGACAACGCTCAGCCAAAGCATGTCTTCCGTGCAAGGCGTCCAAGATCAGGTGTGTCCCCAAGAAGAGGCTGGATGATTGCACCTCGCCTCGCAACTAACGAATGTGGAAGATGCGATGCCGCAAGCCCGTGTGGACCATGTCTGAAGCGTGAGCGCACCAGCGCCTGCGTCTACCTGGACTCTTCACGTAAGCGGCAGAAGACCTCCTCCGTTCCAACTCCGAGCCTGGAAGACACTTCACCGCAGTATGACCCTAGATTACTGGAGCTGAATCACGCCCACGACACCGGGCCCAATCTGTCCTCTGCGGACGCTGCCGATCATGGCTCCATGCAAGGCGCTCCTCCAGCAGATCGACCACAGGCTGGGCGGGGCACTGCAACTGGAAGCACGACGCGTTCTGCCACTCCGGAGCCGGGCAAGACCTCGCGTCAGACCCAGAGTCGGCTTCTGCTGAGCTCCAAGGGCGAGAAGCTCTACGTGGGAGAGAATGCCTCCCTCAGCTTCTTACAGTTTGTCCGCAGGATACTCAAGAAGTATATGGGACCTTCAGCCTTCACCGAAACCCGATTCAAGGAGAACATGCTGGAGATTGAGATGCAACGAGATGAGAGTCCAGCGATGGTCGACATGTCGAGAGGAGACACGAATGCTTTGGTGCAGCTCTATCGAGAAGCATCGAGCGGCATCCTGGACTTATTCACAGTGGCCGAAGCACATGCATTTCTACATCGACACAATGCTCTAAGCCCCAGCAACATGATTGACGACAACGACAAGCGGACCAAAGCCGAACACGCGTCTTTGAGCATGATGCTTGCCATCGGTCACCAATGTAGAGGGCCAAACCCGTTCGATGCACAAAATGCCACCAGACATTTCACCTGCGCCCAGAAGTGGGCGTTCGAAGACTTTCTCTGCGATCCGACCCTAGACCTGGTCCGTGTCTTCCTTCTCATGGCATACTACATGCTGGGTGCATGTCATCGTAATGCCGCCTTTATGTACCTCGGTATTGCGACCAAAGCTGCTTGTGCACTGGGGCTGCATCGCAAGGACCAGCATAGGGGCCTGACCACACAAGAATGTCTGGTGCGATGGCGGACGTGGAAGAGCCTTCTGATCCTGGACACCATTGTCTCCTCCATATTAGGCAGACCTGGTGGGCTACCATCTCGACGGCCGGATGATTCGACGTACGAAGGCGACGAAGATATAGGAGACCTGGATAGGCCACGATGGCTCGCTTCACGAGCAGTCTTCGGTGTTTGCTCCCACATCATCGAGCTCGAGCAGCAACTCGGCAATGGAGTGATTTCAGATGCCGCGACAGCAGAATCATTCCTGCAACGGCTACGTACCTGGAATGACTCTGTGCCTTCCGAGCTACGACATTTTGCTGCTGTCAAGGACGTCACCCTTGGTCCAGCCGAGAGGGAACAGTTTATCGGCTCTGTGCACGTGGCATGCTCTTACTACTTCACCATCATACTCGTCACCAGACCTTTCTTGATCTCACACCTGCTCTCCCAGATCCGAAGACGCAGACCACCAAGCTTGGACAAACCCAATCAAACCTCCGCTGTCTCGGACCTTGCTCAGGCCTGCCTTGATAGCGCAGTATACATGGCCAAAACAGGCTACATGGGCATCAGCTCTGCCATACTGTCGAACAACATGTGTCTTCTCAAGTAAGTCGGCCAAAGATTCCGCTGAAAGTCCGATCTGACCTTTGATCACAGAGCATGGATGTTCGCAGCAGGCCTTCTCTTGGGCTTTGCGATGTTCGCGCAGACAGAACCAGTCCCAGAGGTTGATACTGCTTTTGCAAACTCCATTGCCGTTCTGGAACGTCTTGCTCAAGTATCGCCGCAAGCTCGCCACTACTACGACATCCTATCCACCTTTTCCGACGCCATCCATAGTCGCCGCGAACAACTCGGCCGAGAGAAGCGCCAGAAATCGAGCCAATACGTCTCTCAGATCTTCACAGCCGACTTCCAAGATCCAGATTCGACACTCCAGGCACCTTACACAACTCCAAGCTCTGGCGACGGACCGGCTAACATAGATGCCAATTCCGGTGGCGCCACGGATCTCGATGGTATGGTCGGCTTCGACTTTGATGCTAGCAGTTTGGGCACGGTTCATGATGGCCTTGGGAACTTCCCTTCACATTCAGAGGATCTCGGCAATGATTTTCTGTTGTCGGATAATCTGTAAGTTCCCTCACTCAGATCCTTCGAGGCAGGCAAATTGCTGATTTTCTTGATAGGTATATTGATTGGGAAAGTTTGTGGCCAATGGATGGGTTGACTTCGATGACGTGAAAGAACATCTTAGCGTTGCTGAGCATTCCTATAAGGTCTAATCGACATTGCTCGAGATCGATCATTCCGTCGCACAGACCCTGGAGTCGTTCCTCGCAGGAGTGGTGCTGATAGCTTGGGTCCTTTCGACATGGTCAGGACACTCGGATTGCAATCTCGAGGCGCGACGGATGATGATACTGGAAATTCGGCCGCAGCGTACCCGAGATCCGTCGTGTCTGCGAAAGACATGGTTCATGTCAGCAGCAGCACGCCGAGCATGCTTGGCTCGTTCATCGCCATCGCCACAAGCTGAGCACGACAGGACGGTCAACCCACTTGATGCATTCGCGCCGTGCCCTAACCATCATCTACAAGAGAGCTGTGAGATATGTATGTAAGCTATGCAAAACGTGCGTGCAATTACATGACATCTCGCAGCACGGCGTGCGTTCGAGCATAGTTACGCACACCGCGGCACGAGTCGGAATTGCATAAAGAAGAGTCTCAATACGTAAACGACGCTACCCAGGAAGCCATTTTTCGCCGTTGTTGCCTGACGAGATCACAGTCGCGAAACACATCCACTTTCACACGACAATCACTGCAGCCAAATATTCCCACACAGCCTCCCCTTCCTGCTACTACATACGAGTCATACAAGCGTACTACCCATCTTCACACAACGCATTGTATGATTCGAGAAGTCTCACCGAAGCTACAACATCTACATCTCAACCGAATGAGTCCGCACGATAAGGCGCAGGTAGGGCCCAGAGAATTGGTTGGCGTATGCAAAACGGCGAAGTTAATGCTGACCACCCATGTGGAAAGCGATGGGGAAGTCGTGTCGTGCTAAGTGTCGTACAGAACAAGCCAATCTTCGGTTGTGTCCCGAATGGCTGCATGCTATAGTACCTCCCCGTCGGGGCTTCTTCAGGATCCGTTTTCCGGGGTGGAACAGCAGCTATAGCTGAGAAATGTAGGTTTTGCGATATAAGGCTTCTGATTTTAGTTTTGGGATGTGAAGAGTTGTGCGTGAAAGAGGGAAGTTAAAAAATTATTTTTTTTTACGACAATACACCTAGCATCTTCTTCTTCTTCAGTGAATCAACACCATGTCATCAAAACAAATCAAACCCAACCACCCAGACGAAATCTCTCCCATCACACCCCCAGAACCAGAGCCAGAACCAGAATGGCCTCTCCGCACCTCCTCCCCCATCTTCCCAGAAATCGACCTCGACATCAACATCCTCAACTTCTCCCCCCACCGCCGCACCCCGGATTCCCAAACCGCAACCCTGAACCCCCCATCATCCCCCATCAGTTACAATTCCCACCGCCAACAAACCCCCGACTCCCTCGCCGCAACAAAACGTTCCCGCCGCTCAAGCATCACCGGCTCCACCGACCTCTCCATCGGAAAATTCTCGTTCGAAGACGACGAGAAATTTCCGTTTCCGTTTGATGGGGAGTTACGGGAGACGTTGGAGAGGCATGTTCGGGGGTCTTTGTTTCAGACGAGACGAGAAGAGGGGGAGGGACAGGAACAGGAAGAGGAAGAGGAGGAGGAAGAGGAAGAGTATCCGAAAAAGATGGCGTTGGGACTGATTCTGGTGGCGTTGTGTTTGGCTGTGTTTTGTGTCAGTGAAAAATTGCACGAAAGATTTTTATCATGAGACTTTTTACTGATTGGTGCCCGCCGAACAGATGAGTCTCGACATGACCATCATCTCCACCGCCATCCCACGCATCACCGATGATTTTCAAGCTTTGGACGACGTCGGTTAGTATTGACATCGTCATGAAAATTTCCATTTGCTGACACTGGTTTGTGTGTATATAATAGGTTGGTACGCATCATCCTACATGCTAACCCTCTCCGCTTTTCAACTCTTTTACGGGAAATTGTATACGTTTTTCAGCAAGAAATGGATCTTCCTGATGGCGTTTGCGTGGTTTGAGATTGGGAGTGCGATTTGTGGGGCGGCGCCGAATTCGACGTGTCTTATTGTGGTAAGGTTGTTCCATTTCATCCTTCGTAGTTTGTTAGATTTGGATTTTTCTGGAGTGGAGAGATGGGGGGGGGGGGGGGGGGGTTTGCGAGGTGGTGGTGGTATTTCGTGATTTTGGGCTGATATTTCAGATAGGGACGTGCGATAGCGGGATTTGGATCGGCGGGTTTGTTTTCTGGGGCTCTTTTGATTATTGCGAACAGTGCTCCTTTGGCGAAGAGGCCGACTTATATTGGGATTGTCGGGTCTATGTATGGACTTGCTTCGGTGACTGGGCCACTAATGGTAAGGTATCGCTTTTTTGAAGCAGCATTGTTGATGGAAACCAAGCTGATATCGTTTCAGGGTGGCGCCTTCACTGACCATTTGTCTTGGAGATGGTGGTGAGTTCGCTCTACTTGACTTTTGTTAGCAGCAGAGGACTGAGGATGCATTCAGCTTCTACATCAACCTTCCCATCGGAGCCATGACGGTGCTGTTCATCGTTTTGTGCTACAAAGAATCACATCGATCCCGAGCACAAGTCCTCCAGACAAGCTGGAAGGCTAGAGCTAAGCAGTTTGACCTCGAGGGCCTTGCGATCTTCTTGCCCATGGTCATCTGTCTTCTGCTTGCAATGCAATGGGGAGGCTCGACCTACCCATGGTCCGACGGTCGCATAATCGCCCTGCTTACGCTTTTCGCAGTCGCTCTAGTAGCATTCATCGGGGTGCAAATCTGGAAGAAAGATAACGCAACAGTACCACTGCGAGTCCTCAAGCAAAGATCGATCGCCGCAGCCTCATGGTTTGCCTTCACCCTCGGCGCATCATTCTTCATCCTCACATACTACATTCCCATCTGGTTCCAAGCGATCAAAGGAGCATCTCCAGTCAAGTCAGGCATCAACAACATCCCCATGGTCTTAGCCGTTGTTCTCTCCTCAACCCCCACAGGCATTGCCGTAACCTACATCGGCTACTACACGCCCTTCGCAATCCTCTCGTCCATCCTCTTGGCAATAGGAACCGGACTCCTCACAACATGGGAAACCAACACCGGCTCCGCAGAATGGATCGGCTATCAAATTCTCTGCGGTCTGGGCGTGGGCTTCGGCTTCCAACAAACCATGCTCGCCGCACAAACCTGTCTCCCAAAAGCAGACGTCCCGATAGGCACAGCAATCGTGGTCTTCTTCCAAACCCTCGGCGGTGCGCTCTTCGTTTCGGCCGCGAATAACATTTTCAACAATAAGCTCTTGTCTGGGATAGCTGGGGTGGTCCCGGGTTTGAGTCCTCAGACAATTCTTGAAACGGGCGCCACGGCTTTGAGGAATGTGATTCCCGACGGCTATCTTCCTGCCGTGCTGGAGATTTACAATGATGCGTTGGTCGGCACGTTTTATGTGGCTACGGCGTTGGGTGCTTTTTCGATTCTGGGATCGGCGGCTCTGGAGTGGAGGTCGGTGAAGGGGCAGGATGTTCATGCTGTGGCTGTGTAGCCACGTCTGTAATGTGATCTCTTCGTGAATAGCATGTAGATTGAATAGTATGCTTTGACTTTCCGAGTGGGTATGACGCTGCTGGAGGATCTGGAAATTACCAATAGCACACTCGACACGATGGACCCTCGTCGAAAGACGGGCTTCTCAGAAGTCGTAGATCTGCTTCGTCGACGACTCTGGTGGGTTAAGTAGCAGAACCCGAAAGCTGTACCTCTTTACGATTACATGCGAACGCTGATGATCAATGGAATCGAAATTTTCGTTTACGGCCGCGATTGGCCACATACTGCCAGTAAGGAAGTCAATGCTGCGTCAGGTTCTAGGCTATCTGCGCAGGACTATGGGAACGTCAATGATCCTGCGATTGCGGAGCTCTTCAAGACCTCGGCCGGAAGTGAGGCACAAATTCAAAGATTTCTCGTGGATAATCCAAGACGACTTTGGCACTCGTGCCTAGGTAATGGTGACGCTGGGTTTGGAAGGATACAAGTGAGTCGAGACAAGACGCTCGTTCACATAGCCTGTGCAGTGAATACACGAGATATCATGTGTAGGGACAGCTCGAATATGATCATCTTCCGCGAAATCTCTTCATCACTCATGCTCTGTTCAATAGCTTAGATTCTGCACATTGCTCGTTCACCCTCACCATGTCAGGAATGGCATCAAGGCATTGCCTAGGAAACGTAAACAACACCATCCGAATCCGCGATGATGAAGTTTCTAGGATCTATGGTTGCTTCCTGTCAATTCGATTGCAATCGCAACGGCACATTGATATCTGAAGGACTATCGATAAACTCTCACCTCCAGCTGTTCATCCAACAGATGGAGCAAAAATCGAGAAGCATCAATTCCAATGTTCCTGCGTCCATCGATAACAATGGCAACAGCGCCCGGGTACCTAGGTTGCCACCATAGCAAGCGATTGACTCGGATATGAGGATCTGGCTGAGACATGAAGCGAACGACATCTTTTGGAATTTGGTCGATGTATGTAATTGCCTTGAAGCTGGGGGGACTTCCATGCCTGTCTTCAATTGACCGTGAATGCTTGACCAAAGATTTTGGCGGAGAGGATGATGGATGTGCTTGGGTCATCGGAAAACGCGTAGATTCATCCGTCTTGAAGATACCCAATCATTTCCCCAATTTCCCAATCCCAGAATTCGCAACCGTGATGATATCCACCAGCCATCTCGGAAAGAATTGGTAGAGAATCCAAGAAACAGTCGCGAACTTTCCCTTCCAGATGCTGCCATTGGCACCAGCGAGCACATTCTGGGCCACGTACTTCGCGTACTCGTCTGTCTCCATACATTCGAGATCGGTGCCTTGGTACGTTCTTGCGATTTCACTTTCAATCGACTTGTAGCGTGAGTTTTCCGGGAGTTTCCACGTGGCGACATTCTCCTTTTTCGAGATTCCGGACTTGATGGCGCCGGTCATTAGTGTGACTACTTGCACACCGAACGGTGCGAGCTCCATTCGCAGAGTGTCGGTGATCTGGTTCAGGGCCACTTTCGTCGATGCGTAGAATGCTAGAGTGTGCTAATGTCAGCTGCAGATCTTGGTGCATGTAAATCCCGCAAGTATGCTTACCGAGGAATGGAAACCTGGCGGTTGAACCAATGCTCGAGTTCATCACGATGGTGCCCTTGGCGTTGATGACTAGATGTGAGAACTTCTGAGTCACCCGCACGCAGCCCCAGATGTTAATTTCGTACATGGCCTTCATCTCATCGATGTCGGCGTCGAGGATGGGGGCGTTTGCAGACATTCCGGCATTGTTGATCAGGTAGTCGAGGTAGCCGGCAATGGTATTCTTGTCGCTTGCCAGCTCTGTTTCAACTTGCTTGACGCATGCATCGACGCTTTCTGAGGATGTAGGGTCGAGTTGCAAGGTAGAGATGGAAGGATTGCCGTGCAGATGGGACATCTTGTCGAGATTTCTTGCCGTAGCAAACACTTTGCAGCCTCTCTCTGCGAAGGCGATGGCTAATGCTGAGCCAATACCACCTGCAGAGCATCCTGTGATCAGAACGGTCTGTCGTGGCATATTGGATGGCTGGAGGTGATGACGAGGTTTGATTGTGCCGATGGCGTGTCGTGGATGTAGTACGAATTGAGGGTGGCGAGGTATCCGTTCGGCCTCGTGACAAATATCAAAGCCAGAGCAGAAGTGATGATTTTCAGCGGCCTTGAAACGACGACTGTTGTGTTTTGATTGTAAAGCTGAAAGCGCCCTCCGGAAGTGTTTCATCCGTGCCAAGACATTTCGTCCGGTTCCGGATATGCCCGGGTAATAGACGCAATCTACCATGGTAGAGGCTTTGTCCGAACTGAGAGCGCTACCCAGTGCTTCCAACCCTCTGAATTGTATTAAGACTTTGAAGACTCACATCAGCATCAGCTTAAGTAAAAGCCCTCGAGGACGAGGTGGTATTTTTCATCATGCCTGAGGCAACAAATCCCGCCGCGGCATTTCTTGGTGGAATCAAATAATCAATTAAAAAGTCACAATCCGCCCTCTATCGCTCGCTCGCTCAATTCAATCACATGCACGCATCAAACATCGCTCCTCTTCCCATCTCCCCTGCCTACGCAAAGCAGTCATCATACGTCTTGCTATGCTTGTTCACCGCATGTTCATCCAGCGCTTTCCGATTCGTAGTGCTTTGGAAAGAAGTAAAGCAAGTCTTGCACTTGATAGTCTGTGCAGCGGAGTTCTGCGACGAGTGTCAGAGAGAGTCACAGTATAGAACGATAGTTCGAGGCTGGATGTCTTACGGATTTCAGCTGCGATGTAGGACCTTTCTTGTCATTCTTGCCACCGGCGCGTTCGCGCTTTTGCTGGGCTTTGGCTCCGTTTCCCATTTTGAGAGGTGTGGAGGCGTTTTGTGGTGGTGTGGTGTGTGGGTGTGGGTGTGGGTGTGGTCGCTGGGTCGTGCGGGAATTTGCTTGCGCTTGCAGGAAGAAGAAGGAGGAAGTGAGGTTCTGGCCAACGGCTGTCTTCATGCGCCGGTCTTGGCGGCAAATGTCGGCGTCTAATAATAAAAGCTTTCGTTGGGGTAAATCTTGGCGGACAGTGAGCTACTAACAATTTGGAGGCATGGACTTGAAACTTATTAGTAAGGGTATCGGAAGTGGAATTTTTGCATTGCTTGTGATTCTTGGCATCTGGGAAACAAGCTGTGCAGGTGTGATGTTTGATTTGCTGAATTAAGAAAATCCCGAAGATAGATGTGTTTCGAAAGGTAGACAGCAAACAGTGGGTCGCGCGACCACGTTCAGCAGCATCGTAGCAATGACCAACGAAGTGACGACTGTGGCAGCATTGGATGTGAAAGACACTGGCGTGGAATGAAACGTGGTCTCCAAAAGTCTTCTCTGCTGTATGCTGCCTGCTATGTACTGTTCTCTGCTCATAATCTGACCCAATCGACCTTTGCTTCTTCTGAACGGCTTCAGAGCCTTTCACAGCGACACTGGCAATGAGAGTACCCGCTCGCGTTGGTGTAGCACTGCATGCCTCGTGAGCCTGATGACCTGCGGTCCATGTTGGAGCACTTACTGTTGACTTGGCGCAAGACCAGCCTGATGGCTTGCCAAGATCATTGTAGCAGTAGGCCGGGCAGGGCACACAGGAACGCTTTTCGAGTCCAGCATCAGCCTAGACGAGTCAGCAAAGCATCTTTGATCCGGTAATAGGCGTCCGAACATCCGGTGCTGGTGCAGCCATTGCCAGGCTGCCGAGGAACAAGAACAATGTAATCTTCATGATTGAAGTCGGTATTGGGATTTTGAGGCCGTAATTCCGCAGATAGAGTACAATCGGGATGGAAGATCTCACCGACGAAGCTCAGAAGGGCAGCCTCGAAGATATATGGTCCTGCCAAGCACATGCTCGCTCTCGCTTGAAGTCTCACCGGCGAGATTGTGGTTCGCCATGCGCAAGCGTTGGATCTGTACACCATCACAAGTCTGCCGTATACGCCAAAAGATGCCTCGACCAGGGGGCTGCGCAGTGTTGCTGTCCGACTGGACTTTTGAAGGCTGCCTCTTGCCGAATCAGGCATCCGCCTAGCGGCTAGCACAAGGCTACATTTGCGGGGAAACGCCTCCTTATAGCTGAAGTTGGCGCAAATCAAGGGTACGTGCAGATACGATGCAGAGAAACGAGGTCTTCTCGGCTCCAATGCAACATGAAAACAGGTGACCTGTTCAAACCACGTCTAAGCGACCGGGCTTGGCAAGCCAGCAGCATGGAGTCTGCAGTCCAGGCTATGCATGGCGTAGATGAAGTGCGCTGAAGAGTCTATTGAACAGAAGCAATCGTGTACGATTTGTGTTGTGGCTCGTTGGTAGGCCAGTCCAAGGATCGAAGACGGGCGCACGACACCTTGGGCGGGATGCATAGCAGGTTCATGTGAGAGCCGTAGAGGATGTGTAGGTACAAGAAGTCTGGCGATGGAGCCTTTGAGACGGCATGATGTGCAAGTTCTTTTCCTCAGATGACAGTGGGCGTGTTGAATTACAGTACTGGAGCCCGGAAACAAGCGTGAGGTATCGAATGTGCTCGACTCATTCTGTATGTCGTGGTGATGATCAATATTGGCGAAGCGCTCACGTTGTCGGCGTTCCGGACGTGTCGAATCGTGTTGGCGATGGACTGCGAAGGAGAAGCAGAATGCAAACAAATGCAGGGCCGTGAAAGTTTCGATTCGGCCTGATCCGGCACGGCCCACTTTCGAGATCCTTGGCTGTGACGTCTCGCTCATCCGATTCCGCGTCAACCTGGAAGGCAGAAACGTGAGCGCACGAACACACACAGCCCTTTTGTGTGCAGCGATTGCGCGTCCAGGCAAGGCTCCCATATTCCACCTGCACTCAATCGCCTCTGAAGGCATTCCTTGCTACGCCCACCACAGTCCATACCGCATTCCAAGCTCAGCAGCGACGATGAATGTGCTCAAACTACAAAGTGGGTCTCGAAGTCAGCAGCACTGGAAGCTCTGGACTAACCACGCGATGAACAGAGAAGTATCCGCAATTCCCACAGTCGGAGATATACAGCCTCAGCGACGCCTTCCGCAAACTCGATGTAGACGACAAGGGCTACGTAGACGAGGGAACGGCGATCAAGTCGGCGCAGAACACCGAGCGACAGCCGTACGATGTGGTCCGCCAGGCATTGAAGGAGGTCGAGCTGGACAGCAGCCGAAGAGTTGAGCTGGACGATTATGTGGACCTGATTGCGCGCTTACGCCAGAGCTCGCCCGCCCAACAGCGGTCGCGCGGCTTCAGCAATGCCAACAAGCCCGAGGGAGGAGCGGCGCCGCAAGTTCAGCACGCCGCGACACGCAGCATAGGCAGCGGAGCGGCGGCCAAGGCGGGAAGAATTACTGTCGGAGGCTCGACGTCCAGCTCGCAGCATACCATCAACGAGGATGAGCGGACAGCATTTACCTCGCACATCAATGCTGTTCTAGCGGGCGACCAGGATATTGGCCACCTGCTCCCATTCCCCCTGGACACCTTCGAAATGTTCGATTCCTGCAAGGACGGTCTCGTTCTCGCCAAGCTCATCAACGACAGTGTGCCGGACACCATCGATGAGCGTGTGCTGAACAGGCAGGGCGGCAAGATTAAGACGCTGAATGCTTTCCACATGACCGAAAACAACAACATTGTCATCGAGTCCGCAAAGGGCATTGGCTGCTCGGTCGTCAACATTGGCTCGGGCGATATCATTGAAGGCAGAGAGCACCTGATCCTTGGTCTCATTTGGCAGGTTATCCGAAGAGGTCTGCTCGGCAAGATTGATATCAGACTGCACCCAGAACTTTACCGCTTGCTGGAGGATGGTGAAACGCTCGAGCAATTTTTGCGACTGCCACCAGAGCAAATTCTGCTTCGATGGTTCAACTACCACTTAAAGAATGCAGGCTGGCACAGAAGGTAAGGGTGGTGGTATGGTGTGCGCGACGTTCATGCTGAAACTGACCTCATTCTCAGAGTCCAAAATTTCTCCAACGATGTCAAGGACAGCGAAAATTACACCGTCCTCCTCAACCAACTCGCGCCCAGCATATGCTCACGATCACCACTCCACACGTCGAATGTCGAACAGCGCGCTGAGCAAGTGCTCCAGAATTCCGACCGCCTCGATCCTCCATGCCGCAAGTTCTTGACTCCGAAGTCCCTGTGCGCCGGCAACCCCAAGCTAAATCTTGCATTCGTCGCCAACCTGTTCAACAATCATCCCGGACTTGAGCCGATCACTGAAGAAGAGAAGGCCGAGATTGAGGACTTTGACGCGGAGGGCGAGCGCGAGGCGCGTGTCTTTACGCTTTGGCTCAACTCGATGAACGTGCAGCCGAGTGTGGTCTCGTTCTTCGATGATCTCAAAGACGGCATCATTCTCCTGCAAGCATACGACAAGGTTATCCCCGGCTCTGTGAACTGGCGTCACGTCAACAAGCCTCCCGCCAATGCGGCCACTCCTGCCAGCCAGGATCCTGACGAGCAATATCTGACCATCAAGTCCGGCATGTCCCGCTTCAAGGCTGTGGAGAACACGAACTACGCCGTCGAGATCGGCAAGCAGAACCGATTTTCTCTTGTCGGGATTCAAGGCGCGGATATCACGGATGGGCAGCGGACGCTTACGTTGGGTATGGTGTGGCAGCTCATGCGGAAGGACATCACCAACACACTCTCGGCTGTCGCACAACGTATGGGGAAGCGCGAGCTGAGTGATGCGGACATGGTCAAATGGGCGAACGACAGTGTCCAGAAGGGTGGCCGTTCATCACAGATCCGATCTTTCAAGGATGGGCAAATCGCTTGCGGCGTTTTCTTGCTCGATGTGCTCAACGGCATGAAGAGCAGCTATGTCGACTACGACCTCGTGGCTTCTGGAAGGACGGACGAGGAAGCATATGCCAATGCCAAGCTAGCGATTTCTATTGCACGAAAGATGGGTGCAACGATCTATCTCGTGCCGGAGGACATTACCAGTCTGCGCACGAGACTCATCCTGACCTTTATTGGCAGTCTGATGGCTACTGCGGAGAAGCTTGGTTCATAAGACATTGGCACGATGGAAGCATGGTGGTTTGTGTTGGAACAGCGCGGCGTCGTGGTAGTCGATGTGTGCACAATGGGAGGGGGGCGTCGGATGATAGATAGCATGAGAGTGAAAAGTAGGCAATCGAGCGCATTGACGACATGTCTCCTGCAACGTCCCTGCCTTGACTGAATATTATAGAATCACATGCCTTTGCTGATGTACAAGAGCTACATGTAGCCTGTGAGGGCAAGAAAGCTATGCCACATTATTCAATGGGGCCATCAAAAATGGCGTCAATGCTCCGCGTGTGATTGGACTAGACCAGTGACGCACGGGTGCCTCGTCAGGCATGCAACGAACGAATTGACGTCTCGTCTCAATCGCACAAACGTTGAAAGCAAACCTTCGACCAACACATTTTGCCCCGAAATACATTTCGATTCCTTCGCGCATTCAACATCGCAAAGCAGTGTTGGGCAAGTGATTAGAGCCATGAGCGAGCCCGGCTCCGACCAGGCCTCCAAGCCCAGCGGCAACGGGGCACCTCCCAAGCCGAAGCCGAAGCACGATGCGGAAGTTGTGCAGGACGACAGCGACAGCGACGATGACGATGAGGATGAGGATGAGGTCTGCACAGGGAGCGAGAGCGAGAGCGAGGCCGGCACCACCTCCACCGAAGAAAGTGAAGTTGCACGTGACGACGCCACGCGCGTATTGCAAGAATATCGCCGCCTTCCATCACGGCGCGTGGATCTCGTGGGCGACTATGCGGGAGACGAGCTCTTCCTCATCGAAGGCGACTCGATGTTGCGCCGGTGCTTTGATGACGACAAGCTCGACTTCGACGTGGGCCTGCAATTGCTCCATGCCGCGTGGACCGTCGAACACTTCCTCCACCAGCTCGTCAAGCGAAAATGCAACTTCCACGTGGTCTTCTTCGACAGCAACCGGGAATTGTGCCTCCCCTCACCCCCCCAAGCCCAAGCCTGTCCCCAGCGTGCCGCACGATACTACCTCGCTCGGGCATCGATCATTCGCCATCTGCAAGCACACGTGCCCAAGATCCATCCTTCCATTGCCATCGACATCTTCTCCTCTTGGCAGTCTCCAGAATTCATCGAGTATCTGGAACACACCTCGCCGTACTTCGTGATGCTGCATGATGGTGCACAGGCAGATGAGAAGGCAGTCGAAGATGCACACGCAAACCGTCCCTGGAGCCCAGACCGCATCGCGCTTCGCCGAATGATCGGCGCATTCGTGGAACGCGGCTTCAATATCGCCCTCGTCAACGGCCTCGAATGGCGCGACACGAAAGTCATGACCGACGTGTTGGAGTCGAGGAGACGCACAGGCAAGGCTGATGAGTCGCCACATTCCCCACCGCAACTCTCTTTGCCGCCCACGCTTGATGTCTCCGAGTATGCGAGCAAGCTACCCTCGGCTCTCACGCAGCGTCAACGACTCGCTATTCTCACACTTGCTGTCATATCTCGCTCACGTCAGAGCTCGGGAGCGACAGCGCGATTGAGTGCTGCCTTCCTGCTACACCTGGCCTTGCTCGCCCACACGCCCTTATCAGCACGTCGTGTGCACGTTTCCAAGCCTGACGAAGAGACAACACTGTTCATCGATACACTCTCTTCCACAGCAGAGTCGATCTTGAACAGTGCGGCCTGGCCTGAAGCGACTGCACATGATGATGCCGACAGCGATCTGCTCGATCTCATTGACGGCCGACTGTTTTTGATCGTTGCCGCGACGAAGCCGAGCGTCTCTTCCGAAGTGAAGGCCACTTTCGACAAGCTCTTGAGCGCTTTACAAGCTGTTTCCGACGCAAGCGAGCTGGATCCTAGTACAGCTGTGGAGCGGTCGACAGAGTCCACGAGAGAGTCTCCATCGCCAGCGACAGCAAAGAGCACTGTCAGAGTCTTACCTTTCTCGAACAAGGTATTCGACCAGCACTTGGAGTCAGTCCAATTGAAGATCGACTCCGGACCAGAGGGCCCCAAGACTCTAGCTGCACGCAAGATATTCCGGGAGGTGACGCACTGGCACAACGCGAAGAAGCCACTCGTACAAAAGAGTGTCACTGCTCCCAACACTGTGCAAGAAGCCAGGAAGAAGGCACGAGAGGACAAACGCAACCAGCTCTTCATGGCCGAGATGAGGACATACGCAGCATCGCTCACAAACGCCATTGGCAAGTCTCTGGAACCAGAGACCGTCATTGTCGGGGTGCCGAAGCAAAACACCATCAGATCTGCGACAGAGTCACCAGCTGAGTCAGATATGTCCGACAGTGGCAGTTCCGCAAAAGGCAAGGGCAAGCCGGGCAAGAAGGGCGGCGGTGGCAAGACTGCGGCGAAGAATGCTGGCAAGCAGGCGATGCTCAATAATATCGCCGCTGCCAAAGCCAAAAAGGACGAGGGCACAGGCGACAAAATTCATGGCGCCTGGAAGGTGGCGTGTCAAGGCTTCGAGGCAGACCGGGACCCACGAGCTCGATATCGCAAAGCCAAGCAGTATCTCGCAAACATCCAGCCCGCGTGGCGAGAGATCTTCGGAACAGAGGGCGAGCTGTATCTCGTCAACTGCCTCCTGCTGTTCTGGATTGATGCTTGCCGACGCAAAGAGCAGCCGGGCCGACAGCAGGTTGCAGCACTGATCTGGAACCACGCCAAGGTCATTGCTCAGCAGTCGCCCCTGACCAAGTCCATTTTCAAGTGCGTGGAGCTAACCGAGAACACTTTGAAGCTGCCGCCATTGCCTGCATACTCCGCTTCCCCGGTGGATCGAAAGTTGGCGTTCGATTTCGCATTGCCTGCGAAAGCAGAGTCGCTGGCCATTTCCCTTCCATCGACGGAATTCCAACTGCTCGAATGCGGACCATACCTGGAGCGTAGTTTCGATTCCAAGCCTGATCCTCGTGTGGACTTCAAGCCAGACGGCTGGCAGAGGAAGGTCCTCGACACGATCGATGCTGAGAAGAGTGCCTTTGTGGTTGCGCCAACATCTGCCGGAAAGACATTCATTTCTTTCTACGCCATGCGGAAGGTTCTGGAGGCCGACGACGATGGTGTGCTTGTTTACGTTGCCCCGACAAAAGCTCTCGTGAACCAAATCGCTGCTGAGGTTCAAGCGCGATACTCGAAGAAATTCAAGTATGGTGGCAAGTCGGTCTGGGCTATCCATACACGAGACTACCGCATCAACAATCCCACAGGATGTCAGGTCCTGGTCACCGTCCCTCACGTGCTTCAAATCATGCTTTTGGCACCATCGCATGCCAACTCATGGTCGAGTAGAGTCAAGCGCATCATTTTTGACGAGATCCACTCCATCGGTCAAGCCGAAGACGGGGTTGTTTGGGAGCAGTTGCTCCTGATGGCGCCCTGCCCAATCATTGCCCTCTCAGCGACCGTTGGCAATCCGCAGGAATTTAGCGACTGGCTGGCGACCACCCAACAGGCAATTGGCAAGGAGCTTGTCACGGTTCAGCATCCACACCGATACTCAGACCTTCGCAAGTACTTCTACGTGCCACCAAAGAAATTCGGCTTCCATGGTCTCCCGGATAAGAAAGCCTTCGGATCTCTTGGTCTTGAAGGCTTGACGGGGTTCAACTTTGTTCACCCGGTAGCAGGTCTGATTGACAAGTCTCGCGGCATTCCGGAGGATCTGGCACTGGAGCCCCGCGACTGCTTCACCTTGTGGAAAGCCATGACTGAAGTGCAGACGAAGGAGCACCCTGTTCCTTCAGATCTCAACCCCAGCAAAGTCCTGCCGGAGATAATCAAGAAGGTAGACATCTTGGCGTGGGAGAAAGATCTCAAAGCCATTCTCCGCGCTTGGCTGATGGATAAGACGTCACCATACGATCAACTACTGCAAAAGCTCGAGCGAAGCTTCCGCGCTGACAAGCGAGAGGAATTGTATCGCACTTCCGAGGACAAACAGAAAGCCATACTCAAGGTGGAGTCCGTCAAGACCTCGACCCTGCCACTTCTCTGCCGATTGCACGAACAAGATGCTCTGCCTGCAATCCTGTTTAACTACGATCGTCTTCAGTGCGAGGACATCTGTCGATCTGTCGTGGAACAACTTCAGCGTGCTGAGCTGAAGCAAGTCAAGAGTGGTAAATCCTGGGAGCGGACGTTGGAGCGCTTCGAGGAGTACAAAAAGCTGAAGGCTAAGAACAACGCCAGGACAGCCAAGGCCACATCGAAGAAGACCAAGCTGCAAGGCGACGACGACGACAAGTCTTCGAAGATGGATGAGAGTCGCGAAGGTGATTTTTCCTCGAAATGGGAAGGCTTCAATCCCGATGGTCCAGCTGACGGCTATCACTTCGCGGACTACACCAAGGTTCTCATGTCAGAGCTCGACATTTTCTTGCGACAACTTCGCAAGCGAGAAATTGCAGAGTGGCTGATTGATGCTCTGGCTAGAGGCGTTGGTGTGCATCACGCGGGTATGAATCGCAAGTATCGCCAGGTGGTCGAGATTCTCTTCCGCAAGGGCTTCCTGCGCGTGATCATCGCAACAGGAACGTTGGCTCTTGGTATCAACATGCCCTGCAAGACTGTGGTCTTCTCTAGCGACTCAGTCTTCTTGACGGCTCTCAACTATCGCCAATGTGCTGGTCGCGCTGGGCGTCGTGGCTTCGACTTGCTCGGAAATGTCGTCTTCCAGGGTGTGTCTAGGCAGAAGGTCTGCAGACTCCTCAGCTCCAGACTTCCTGATCTCAACGGTCACTTCCCAATCACGACTACGCTGGTATTGCGACTCTTTTCCCTCCTTCACGAGTCAAAAGGAGCGAAGTATGCTGTCAATGCGATCAATGCTCTCTTGTCTCAACCCAGGCTATACATGGGCGGCGCTTCCTTCAAGGACCAGACAATGCATCATCTGCGATTCTCCATCGAGTACCTGCGTCGACAGCACTTGTTGGGCTCTGATGGTGCGCCGCTGAACTTTGCTGGCCTGGTGTCGCACTTGTACTTTACGGAGAACTCGTCATTCGCATTCCACGCGCTTCTCAAGGAAGGCTACTTTCATGAGCTCTGCGCTAATATCAACAAGAACGAGAAGGATACTCTGGAAACGTTGATGATGATCCTCTCCCATCTGTTCAGCCGCATCAAGTGCCGTCAAGCAGATAAAGAGTTCCGAGAAAAGGTGATCAAGCCATCATCATCCATGGTCTTCCTACCTCCAATGCCGGAAAGCGCCAGCAACATCCTGCTCGAGCACAATAAGCAGACTCTCGACGTCTACCGAGCGTATGTGGAGACCTTCGTTGACCAGCATATCAAAGACGCAGACCGCACTCTGCCTCTCACTGGCCTTCAAGCAGGAGCCGAAGGTCCGATTCCGAGTGGCATCAACAGTCTCCCACCATCTCGCATCCGCTCCTCATTCGTTGCTCTCTCTGGCGCAGATGATACCTTTGACAATATTCACGACCTCTGCCAGACCGTTCGAGACGGTGTCTTCCTCGAAGAAGCCGTGATTCCACACATGAACGTTTACCCGGAGGAGATGTCAGTCCCTCTCAACGCCTACCTCCTCGATTTCTTCAAGCATGGTGACGTCCACACCATCGAAAAGGCCAACGGCATCCGCCGATCAGAAATCTGGTTCCTCCTCAACGACTTCTCCCTCGTCCTGGCCACAATCATCACTTCCCTCATGAACTTCATGAAACTCACCGAGTCCACCGATCTCGACATGCTCGAAGTGATGGGCAACATGGACGCTCACGAGGAGGCCGAAGACGACAAAGTCGCCGCCACTGAGTCCCAATCCGAGGCTTCCGGCCCCAGCATCGCAGACAGCGGTATCGCCATGACTGATCGCACGAAGCCGACCAAGTCTGCTGCTCCCACCCAGAAGCAATCTAGGAATGCGGAGAGCTGGGAGGATCTCATGGGTAGTGAGAGCGAGGAGGATGAGGATGTCGAGCAGAAGGCTGTTGAAGAGGTGGCGGAGGAACTTGCGGCGTCGTGGGATGGCGAGGGAGGTGAGGGGTTGAAGGATGTTTTGAAGGCTTTTCAAAAGTTGCATGCTGAGTTCACCGTCAAGTTCCGGGCTATGTGGGCTTGAGATTGGAGTGGAGTGGAATGGTTGCATGAGATAGAGTTAGAACAAAAAGTCTTGGTATCGCAGGCTACGTGCTTGGAACTGTTGGGCTGAGGCCTGACTTTTGCTTGGGAATTTGGCGTTCGAGGCAGCTCACCATCACATCAACTTCTAGTAAGCTCTGTCTCTCTCTCTCTCTCTCTCTCTCCCCGTATCGATACCCCTGCCGCCGCTCAGAACAAGTGTTGCACATCTACCTTGTTCGTTCTTTACCGATTGATCCGATCCGATCTGCCTCATATATACCCCTGCGAGGCTGGCTGGCTGTTTGGAATGTGACGACGCAGGCTCAGACATGGAATTTCAGGAGAGAGAGAGATGAAGACGCGGCGCGCTTGGAAGGAGAAAAAAAAAAGGAGCTCTTTCTTTCTTGTTCATCAATGTCGTTTTGGAATCATCTTGTGGGAGATTGATTCTTTGCCAGCCAAACCACGAGGACCAAAAAAATCAGTATCCATGAGAAAGGCATGCATGCATCATCGACTGCCCTTTTTTTTTTGACCAGCCAGCTTTACGTGGAGCTAGCCGTATGTGTGTGTATTGAGCAACGTTGCTCAATATGTATTGATATGATCACGGCAGGAAGGCCTGCCTCTGGACGAAGTGGAGGCATTCGGGTTGCATTCGAAGTGTGCTAGAGAAGACGTATGGCCACGACTTACTTTCCGGGCTGCGGGAATGCATTCCTAGCTTTTAGGCGAGCCCGGTCAGGATTTCGAACGAAGTGGAATGAATGAATCCTCGGGCGGGCGTGGACTGCGAGATTGAGAGATCTTGATCCGGAGGAGAGGAATCGTGCGCCTTCGAGTGGATGGGTGAGCAAAAGTGGGCTTCTGGGAATTGGAGTACGTGCGGGCCGGTTGTCGCTGGCCACATACGTTGGAGTCTTGGCGTGAGTAGCTGCATCCTGATGATCGCAAGGTGATGCGGTTTGTTGTTGATCGTCTGTCTGATGAAGTGTGTGTGTGTGCATGTGACCCAGTGATCGATCCTTGCGGCCGAAGAAGTGGGGACGCATTGATATGCGCTCAGGTTTCCCGTGCCCATTTTTTTCGCTTGCCTCCCCAGCGCAGAGGCTTCGTAGCAGGGTTCAGGCTAATATTGCACGATCGGTGCACGATTTCTATGGTATCAGGGTAAAGCCTCCAGGGATCGCCACTCACAACGAATAACCAAGATGGTTGGGTGAATATGGGAGAGATCAGACTTGCATCCTGGAGTAGGAACATCTTTTTCTGCATCCTTTTGGAGCCTAAGATGGACAGCTGCCAGAGCTTACACACCCTCTGTGCACGGAAGACGTCGAACATGTCTGCTTGAAGGAGGATAGCCTCGAGTGGCTCGGCTGTTCCAAATACTGCGGCAACAGCTGCGGCAGCTGGCGATGTTGATGCTGGGCCTGAAGTAGACATTGTTGATTTTGCGAGTGCGAGGTGTTCCAGAAAGTTGAAGAGCGCGCGAGATGCACGATATATCAGACATTATCAGATCCTCTTTGTGCCTAATCGCAAAGGATACGAGGGTCGGCGTGTGTCTGAACAGGAGGTTGTAGGCTCGACAAGCAAAGGCTGAGATCATCCTGCTGTGTCTGAGATGCCGACCCCACTGGATATGGACGTAAGACACCATAATCAGAGTTCTGCCAGTTGCCATGTTCGCATCTCGTCTGCCCCGAGCTACCAAAGCGCTGCCACGGAACGTCTTAGTGATTGCTCTCGCAGCGTTGTCAGCTGCGCATCGAAGATGATCAGTTTGATTGGTACATCCCGAAATATTGCCGTAGAAGATCGATCCAATGATGTCCTGCGCGGTGTTTTCTCCAATGATCATGAGTGCGGGCGAGGTGACGGACACGCTTCCAGGAAAGATGGCCGAAAGCAAGTCATGCAAGGACGAAAATGCACTGGAAGAGAGTCCGAAAGTGGCACCAGGCCGCATTCCCTGATCTTTGCCCCACGGCGGTCTGATCTCCAACCTCCGCCACCCAGTTGGCGAGTCAGGGTTGAGAGTCTCCCAATCTTCAGGCATAGGTAGACGCGTTGAGTTGCAGTACCAGGCGATTGATCGTTCGACATAGTCTCCAGCCACCACTGAAGCTTGAAGACTTTGAACGCACAACTCGAACAGACATTCTGTGGCAATGATGATGGAAGTGTTCGATATACTGGTTCCATATGCTAAGGCGGTGGCATCCTGGTTGCTGCCTTCTGCCATCAGCATTCGCACCGCTCTGAAATCACCGTTTTCGTGCACGAGGCCGACCGTTTGACGTGCTGATATTCATAATAACGTCCTTGGCACTAGGGTATTTGTTGTAGGTGAGGCTAGGCATCATCCCAGGAGGGCCAAGATCGCATGTTTCCTCGCTTGAGCCCGCGAAAGGCGCAGTGCAGTTCCTACGCAGCAGGTGAGAGAAGCTTTTGCAGCTAGGCCGAACAGCTAGAGTTGCGACAGGATCCCAAGTACAATTGCCACTCTCACAGACATACTGCGGTAGGGACCATGCTTGAGACTCGTCCATGTTGATTAGAGAGTTGTAGACAATCGACTTCATGACTGGATCTACGTGATAAACTGCTCACCCGTCAGTCGTTGCTTTATTGAGGGAGACATGCAGATTACTCACGGTACGATGCACCGAGTTGCGATGCACTCATCGGGATTCCTGTTGAACCGTAATCTGAAGCATTCGAGACAAACGCAGGTACAGTGGCATTCACCACTAAGGTGCGTAATGAATGAGGTTCTGTATGAAGGGATCGAAGCCGAGCGCCAGCAGAGTTGCAATTGCAGCCAACGCCGCCAAGTGCCTATGCAAGTCAGCATGTTCCTTTCTGCGCCAGTCGAAAAGGCATTGTACCTTCCTGGCTGCTCGAATAGCAGTATAAGGCTCCCCATAAGCCCTCTGCTTGCGGAATGAAACGTTTGCAGGTCTGACATGGCCCGCTCTTTCTCTGCCATCCATGTCCACTTGAGTTGCGACAGCCCACGTGAGACGGGAATCAAGACCATGGCTTTTGCTAGAGTACTGAGCCATGATAAGAGTGTATTAAGAGACACTGTTGCCCATTCAGGTTGTGGCGCATTGTCGAAATGGCTGAGAATTATAGCGATTGCAATCAAAGTCGCGCCAAGAGTCCTGGCGATTAAGTTGCAGACAGGCGCTAGCATATCAAAGCACGCTGCAGATTGTGGTCCTCAGCTGCAAATACCCTGTGCTATGAATGGGCGTGCTAGAACAGCCGAAGACGAACTTGCGTTGGTGAATCCTCTCGTCATCTCGTGCCACCTCGCTAAAGCTCTGCACGTGGTCGCACGAGCTTTTTTGGGAGTCAGCTGAAAGAAGGATTGCCGCAATCCTTGTAAGCGGACGACGGCGCTCGATGAACGTAGGGCTGATTGCAACGATGATGCTCCAGCTTTTGTGCCTAGATTTCGATACAAATCGCGAAGGTCTTGGGTTACTGTGAAGCCTTGACATCGTACTCCACATCTGTGCGAATCACATATTTCGCACCCTCAGTAACACCAGTGCCTTCGTGCAAAAGCGCTCCCTTAGCCTCGCCGTGAGGGAAGACAGCGACACTGCCCATGATTGGCTTGACAGGATAGGCATTGATGATACCTTCTTCCACGCTCGGGATGAAGAAGGTCGTCTCGCCTCCTTTGAAATCGTCATTGAGGTAGATTAAGAAAGTGAACAAGCTCGACTGCTTTGCATCGGACGGCGAAGAGTCGTATTGGTAGGCATCCGTAACAGGATCGATGCCTGAGGGTGGCCAAGCACCATCAATATGGCAGCGATACTCAGCGCCGGGGACGTAGCGATACACGCGGAATCTACGATTTATGCCACGCACTTTCCTGCCGGAAACGGAGTCTGGAACAAAAGCCTTGACTCGTTGCCAAAGCTTGTCGTGAAAAGACTGATCGACTATCCAGTAGAAGTTGTGGGCCAGTATGCTGGTTTCTGATCCGTCATCCCGGATTGGCGCGTCTGGTATAAATTCTATTGATTCGCCAGCTGCAACGATCGATCGACACTCTTCTGGCGAGAGGACGTCTTGTATGAGGCGGAGGTCGGACAACACCGGATGCTGATGGCATTTAGCTTGTGGCGGATTGCTCAGAAGAACCGTGTCGTCCTTGGAGGCATACAGGATTGCTGGATGCATGTTCGGTGGCTTTCGCCGAGGACCAGGTGTATTTTCCAATATTCGGAAAGAGTCCTTGATGTTTGATGGGTTTGATTTGAAGATGCTCTTGTCGGCAATGCTCGCCAGCAGCTGCTGTGATGGCTCTTTCGCTGTTCTCAAGTCCCATGTCGATTGAAGCGCGATGGGGCCCAACCGCTTAGCACTCCCAGAACGCGTCGAATCTGTCGGCCCAGTAACCCTCAGAACTGCATCGACCACTCTTAGCAATGCTGAATTGTTAGCATATCTCCCATTGTTGACTTTGCCAAGATCTCGGTCTTGATGTGACAGTCCGGACACCACATCTATGCTTCGAATCCAGCGGCAAAGAGCGCCCAAAGTGGGAGTTTCTTGACGGATGCGCATTTCTGAAAGCAGAATCAAGGCATCGGTATATTTCGCATCTGTGAGCGCGGCAGATATGCGTGAAGTAAGGCTATTGCCCTCTGGAGATGTGCCTTAGCAATAGGGCTAGTATTCAAGCCCGGCCACCAAGCTTACCAGCTGCATTCACCCCAGTCGTACATGCTTTCCTGAACTCGAACACTGCTGTTCTCAAGTCTTTGCATGCTTTGGACTTGATGATGGATGGGTGCTCCGCCAATGTCTGCAGTGTCTCAACCACAATCTCGACATCTTCTGGAGCCACCACCGAGTATGGAGACTCTATAGTCTCTGCGGGCAGAGCCTGCTTTTTGAAAGCGGCCATAACCGCCTGCTGCTGATTGTTGCGCTTTCTTTTGCCCATTTTTGGGCTTGATGGGAAGAAAGTTGTAGCAACTGTTAGGGCTGTCGTTATTCTCTGTCGGTGAATTGAGTTTCAGGACTTTTTGAAGGACCGTGCGTCATGTCTTGGCAGGAACAGCGTCTGGACTCATAGGCAGATTATGGTCACTGTTGCACGTCGATGAGAGCCTTCATGAAAACGAGAGTCAAGTGGCCCGGTAGACTGCTTGAGATTGAGCAGCATGCAATTCCACATCGAGTTGTACATTCTTCAAGGCAGAACGCTTGCACAATGAGCAGGAAATCAGCATCACGTTGGCAATTTACCACATGAACGCTCATCACAAACCTCCTCATATCCGAACCCCCTTACTCCTCAGCAAACCCAGCAAACCCCCAGCCTGAAACCCCACCCACTCCATCGTCCCCCCAACCGCACTCCCAAGCACCCTAACCTCCTCCAACCTCCGATCCAAAAACTCCTCCGTATCCTTAAACTCCGTACTCTGATCACTCGTCATAAAAACCTCACTCGCACCATAAACCCCACTTAACGTCGCCCTCTTCGTATACCAACTCGAATCCACACTCTGATCACCCGCCAAAAACCACATCTCATCACTCAAAAGCCCCAACTCCCGTAAACTCGCAGGAATGTGCTCCGCTAAACTCATCTGTCCCAAGGCCTCTTGCCAGCGCGGGAGGATGCCGGTTTCATGGTTCGCGTGGAGGCGTGAGAGGACGAGACTTCGAATCTTCCTCGCTACGCCTATTTTCTCAGCTGGAGGGAATTGGACGCGGTGTTTGAGGGCTAAGCGTTGAGTGACGAGATGGAAGAGAATCAAGTCGAAAGCTCCGCGACGGAAGAGGTTTGTGGAGATTTCGAGGTATCCGACATCTTTTGCTCCGAGGGAAAGGGATTTTTGTGTGAAGCCGTGGGTTGGGACGTGGGTGAGTGCTGCGGAGAGGATGCGGGATTCGGTTTCTGGGTAGGGTGGTGGGTCGGGATGTTCGTAGCTGTGGTATAGGGCTTTTTGGGCGAGGAGGGGTCGGAGAGGTGTTGGGACGCGGAGGAGAGTGCGGAGAGCTGTGTTTATTGACGCCATTGCGTGTGAGCGATAATGCCTCGACTGCGATTGCGATGCGATGCGATGCGTAGATGTGAACTTCGTGAACTAGTCGGTGCCAGCTCCGCGCGTACTGTATTCTATTCGGAGCTTGCTCCTAGTCCTACTCTTGTTTCCGGAGTCAGGTCCTACACCTCATCCGCTGGCTGTCTCACGTCAAGATTATTGGTGGCACGATAGAGAACGCTAGTCAATGTGCCGATTTGGACGGTGGGAACTCCGACAGATCGTAAGAAGTTGGTTCTCGTGATGCCGGAGCTGTGTGGTTGGACAGGGTAGAGAGTTTGTTGGAGCAAGGACTACTCCGCGGTCGATGAGAGCTGGTCGATTGGCTGTCTCTAGATTGGAGGGAGAGTTGGATGGCACTGCGTGTATTGGTGGGTAAAATGGAAATTATTGTTATGAACATCGGAGAGCAAATACGGTTCAGAGAAACGGGAAGTCATGGATTGGAAAGTTCATGCCTCAGGCTGGCGACGAGACAAGGTCTCTTCGAAGAAATATATATTTGTACATTCATTGCGCATTTCGTCGTGATCACCATCTCACAATTTATTCCCTCAGTGACTGATGTATTGAAACACTGCACTGACGTCCTTCTCATTGGTCTCTTGCCTCAGCAACAAATCTTGTATGCGACACATCGCACCTTTGTCGCCTTCATTGATAAAATGGTTCCAAGAACTGGTGTCGCCATACATCATGGCCGGAGCCTTAATATACTGCCGTCCATCTTTGCATCGCTTGCACTTGAAAGTGTCATGCGTGTCGCTGGTCGTGCCAGGTCTGTATTGAAACAGTTCTCGTAAGGAGTCCAAGCTGAAATGACGCTCGACATCTTCTGCAGAGTCAACAACGCAAGATGACAGCGACTGCTTATGCGATTGACGTTGGAATATCTTTTCTTCAATCGTACCGGTTGCAATGAATCGATACACAAAGCAATCTTTCTTCTGCCCATCACGCCACACTCGAGCCAATGCTTGCTGGTCCGCAGCAGGGTTCCAATCAGGATCGAACAGTACCAACCGGTTGGCGCCAATCAGGTTGAGACCACAGCCACCAGCCTTAGAGGACAGCAGAAAGACGAACTCGTCACCCTCAGGGTCATTGAACTTGTCGACCAGCTTCTGTCGCTTATTGACATTCATGGTTCCGTCAAGACGTAGGCAGCCATAGCTCCGATTGCGGCACAGCTTCTCAAACACGTCCAGCGTCTGAGTATAGTTCGAGATGAGCACGATCTTGTCATTCGTGTCTTGTCGGATGCGCGCCAACATACGATCTAGCACTTGCATCTTGCCCGAGTACCATGGCTTGACATCTCGGTCACGCCCACGCGCGTCTTTGGGCACAAAGTCTGCCGGGAAGTGCTCTTCGCAGCCTGGTAGGTCGTCCGGCAGATTGAGCAGATCTGGATGGTTGCAAAGCTTCTTGAGGAGGCCAATGGCTTTTAAAGGCTGGCTGCCCTTGCCACGAAGCAAGCTTTGAATCTCTGGTGACTTGATGAAGTAGTTGTACAAATCCAGCTGGAAGGGCGCTAGATTGCAGAAGACGACATGCTCGTATTTCACAGGCAGATATTTGGAGAGGATGTCGTTGGTGCGTCGAATGATGAACTTGTTGACGAGGATTAAAAGTTCTTTTAGCCGCTCATCGCCCTTCTGTCTGTCGGCATCTGTGCCGTCGGCGTCGCGTCCGCGGAGGATAGGGATCTCATACTGCTTTCTGAATTCCTGTCGCGTGCCTAGATAGCCTGGGTTTGCGAAGTCGAGGAGAGCAAAGTATTCTGACAAGTCGTTCTGGATAGGCGTTCCTGACAGAATCACACGTTTCTTCACATTGAGGCCTGTCAGCGCCTCGAAAGTCTGACTCTCAGCATTCTTGAGACGGTGGCCTTCGTCGCACAGCATTAGGCCGATCGGTGCATTTCGCAACTCGTCCACATAAAGTCTCAAGGTCTCGTAAGAAACGATGAGCACAGGTCTGACGACAGCACGACCCGTCGCTGATGCCCAAGAACGCATCTGCTGCGTCAGCTCTTCTTTCGATGCTTTGCCATCGCATGCAAATGGAGTTATGGCATCAGGCCCGAGCCATTTGACCAGCTCATTGGCCCAATTGCGCACCAGACTGGAAGGACATGCTACGATGCACTTTTGTATTGTGCTCTTTCCAGCGTCGGGTGACTGCTTGAGCAAAGTCCACATCAAGGTGATGCATTGTAGCGTCTTGCCGAGACCCATCTCGTCTGCCATTATACATCCTTCGGCGTTGCTGTCGATGAGGCCAGTAGTGCATTTGTACAAGAACTTCACGCCTTCCACTTGGTGAGGTCGTAGCTTTTGCGCCAGTCGCGGGTCAATGACTACAGGCACCTTGGGCCTCTCAGTATCCACTTTCTTTTTGATGCCGAGAATGTCCGCTAAGCTCTTGTGCATGAGAGGCTCTTCCATCCTCGGCGCGTGCTCCTTCGGCTCTTCCTGTGAAGGCACGATCTCCCCATTCTCGAGCACTTTCGGCTGTGGCTTTCCATCTACGGTCGGATCGAAAAGGACAATGGCAAACTCGCCTGCGGGATCGTGCAGAGGTTTCGCGACGAAGACCTGGCCTTGACGCAGACCCAGCAGCGGTGGAGGTCGATTGGCGTTGTATTGCGTGGTATCCTTATTCTTCAATGGCACCAGAAATCGTGATCGGAAGGCGGAGTCTTTATGTTTGGGCTTGAACACAGGAAAGCGATTGACATCTCGAGTGGCCAGAGCGAGGCGGTCATCATTAGTGTATGGCTTGTCTGCATCTTCGCTGGCATCCGTGCCGGTATAGTCGACATTCCGTCGCTTTCGCGCAGACTTCTCCGATGCTCGAGTAGGCGTATTGCTTCCAGGGCATTTGAATGGTTTGATGAGGCGATCGGCTGTCTGCGGTGTGCCGCCATATAAGCGGGCGCGCGGCTTGGTAGACGTCGGCGCCACATTCTCCTTGTCCGGCATTGGCAGCGCGACGACCATGATTGTGGTCAAAGTGTGCAGGACTTGCGAGGAAGATGCAGTGGAGGTCGAGTGTGAGGTCGCGTGGCAGGCAGGGCAGACGCGACTTCTTGGCACTCCAAGGACGCGACGCGCGCGCTAAACAACGTGACTTTCTGCCACAATATCTTTTCTTTTCCTTTTCCGTCTCTTCTCTCAACACCATCGTACTCTTCCATCAATACTACATCATCTCGCTCTCTCAGCATCATCAATTCTCTTGCTATAATCCCCTCAAACTACACCCCGTCTTCATCTCAAGACACATCAGACCACATCTTGGAGCCATTCACCGGCACCGGCAAGATTCAAGCGCTGGCGACGGCGATGACTTGTTCGCTGATGCAGTGATGCCGTTGACAGCACCGCGGGCTCTGCTAAGGCACCATCATGCGCGTCTGCACCATACGCCTGGCACGGCACGGCATGGCACTCGCTTGCTGGATGGTCGTTGTGCACAGATTGCTTAAAGTCCGCCCTAGCCTTGCGAATATCACTGGAAATTGCCGCCACTTCTCATCTCGCATTGCGCATCTCGCATGGCTTATCTATCCGGCATCTCTTGACACGCTCTATAGGTGGATGATTCCTGGCTGCACTGACAAAGCTACGCACTTTGCCGCATCTCATCCTCTGGCATCTGCTTCATCCGGTGCGGAGGCGTCATCCATGCTCCACAGCACGCACACCGGCAACTCTATACCTGTCTGACACTTCTCAATAATAAGGTAAATGTTTCGCGCGAAAAGATGATTTGAAAACCCATCAGCTGGTCTATTCGATCCCTCCAACTTCCATCATGCACCTTGAGAAGTGAGACCTCATTTCATGCACCTAGCACGCAGATATGACGCCTTCGGTGACATCAACGCTGGCAGCTCTCATACTATGGGCGTCAGCAGGAGCAGCGGCTGTCACTTCGAGGCCGGAAAAGATGTGGCCTGGTTGGTGCAAAATCTCCCATATGATTGTCTTTGGCGACAGCTATACTGCCACTGGCTTCAACGTATCTGGTGCTCAACCTTGTGTTGACAATCCGCTGGGAAACCCTCCATTCCCGGGCCATACATCCTCCAATGGCCCCAATTGGGTTGACTACCTGACCTTGGACTACAATGCTACCTACCTGCAAACTGTGAACCTGGCCTATGGAGGTGCCACTGTCGACTCTGCTTTAGTCACACCCTACCTGCCCACAGTGTTGTCTGTAAAGCAACAGATCCAGGACGAGTATCAGAAGACGTACGCAAACCATCCAGCGACTTTCGCATGGAAGGCAAAAAACACATTGTTCGCCATCGTGAGTATATCCTGAGCAAGACACCAGTCCATTGAAAGCTCAGCGCCTAACGCAATATCCCAGTGGATAGGCATTAACGACGTCGGAAATGCCTATGCTTGGTCCAATAGTTCACAAGTCTATCCAAAGATCTGGTCGACTTACAGCTCGCTCGTAGAAGAGCTATACACTTCTGGCGCCAGGAACTTCTTATTCATCAACGTCCCTCCCGTCAATCGGTCGCCATTGACTATGGCCCAGCCGTACCAGTCGCAAACTCAAGAGCGAAAGGACATCGAAGCCTGGAATGCAAACCTCACGACCATGGTCAATGATCTGCATAAGAAGCACAAAGATACCACTGTCTTCCCATTCGATGCGTACAAGCTTTTCGGCCAAGTTCTAGACGACCCGTGTTCGTTCGACAAGACTTATCCTTACAAAAACACCACAAGTTATTGCGAAGCATGTGAGTCCTGCTGTTTTCCAAAGCATAGCCTGCGATATAGCTGACGTTTTTTTCCAGATGCGAATGGAACACCTGACTGGTACACATACAATGCCACTTGCGGAATCAGCGTCGACCAGTACTTCTGGTTGAACAGTCTACATCCCACATTCAGAATGCACGATCTGCTTGCGCAGCAAATTGGCGACGTCTTGAACAATTCTGGTAAATGGAGTAGCTAGTAGCTGAATCGCAAGCAATCATGTGCAGGGCAGTAAGGAGTGTGCGCAAATGCCATGAAGTCACACTATTTTCCAACACAGCGATACGAGTCCAACACTTCACCTCTCGCTTATAAACTCGTGAGACAAGTGCGTTTGACCACGCTAAACGCGGAGTTGACCATCGATGCAACTCTGCGGCGTGCTGAAGCCTACTGATTCGAGTGACCTTCGATCTACCGAACGACCAGCCTTTCCCCGTCGTGACCTGACCTTGCTGCAATGGATCCTGGCGAGTGGTCAGCTCCAGTGTCCAGAACTTGGACAGCCGGCTTTGCACAGTGTCGGATGGCTCGGTAGTATGCCGCGAAGTTCACCTCATCACTGACGATAGGTCTCCCAGGTGATAGGCAGAGCAAGTTCAAACAGCAGATCTCATTGGCGGCATGATTAGCAATGCAGAAGCACGAGCCACAAACTCTATCAAGCTCGCCATTTCCAAGAATCTAGTAGGCGGATAGCCCTGGGCATCAAAAAGAGCCTCGAGGCTCGAGCGCCTCTTCACTCATACATACCTAGTAAGGCTCGTGCCAGCCGACGTCACATGATGGTCCACTACCTAGAATGGTCCACCGCTGTGCGGTAGACAAGTCCATAAGCTGTACCGCAGTGTAGCTTTGAGAATCGGTATGGACCAACATTGCTAGGCATGATCGGTATCGCATTTCGGTTGTCACTGTTGTGGCGGCAATGTCGCCTAAGTCCTTTAACTTCTACTTCCCTGCAACTGCAATAAAGCTACCCTTGTTGATCTCGTAGCAACAACCATGTAAATCGGCACTGATCATAGAAAAAACATTCCCTTGTCTGTTTTATTATTCTACCACATTTCTACGACCACACGGCCGCTCCAATTCTGCTTGAATTGACTAAGCCATAATATGGCAATCCTAGCTTTGCTATCGGCCCTAATTGGCATTGGTTTCTGTCAATACTTTCCACCAACGCCAGAAGGTGTGACGACACTGGAGTCCAGATTTCACAATGGCGTCAAGATTAGCTACAAAGAGGTCAATATTTCAATGGTACATGATGGCAGCTTGGACTAAATGCAGCGCAGAACGACATCTGTGAAACCACCCCTGGAGTCCACTCATACACTGGGTATGTCCATATACCTGCAGGAGCGACGGAAGATATGTCTCCTGTCAAGCAGAACTTCCCCATCAATCTTTTCTTCGTAAGCATGGCTAGACGCCCCAGATCTTTCGGATCCATGTCACTGACACTGACTGTCTGCGACAATTAGTGGTTCTACGAAGCCCGCAAGAATCCGAAGAATGCACCTCTCGCTATATGGCTGAATGGAGGTCCTGGATGCTCCTCCTTAATCGGAATGCTCGATGAGCTTGGTCCATGCTGGGTCAATCCAGACGCCAACTCTACGCGGATCAATGAATGGTCCTGGAACAATGAGGTGAGTCCACAGGCACGTGAAAAGAAAATGGAACCCTTACGTATGTCAGGTCAACATGCTCTTCATCGACCAGCCATCACACGCAGGCTTCTCATACGACAATCTAATCAATACAACCAATAACCTCCAGCGCTACGACGACATCACTCAACTCTGGCCAGGCGATGTCATCCCCCAACAAAATTGGACATTCCTCGTCGGCACCGATTCCACACACGACTTCAGACGAGTCACAGCCGGAACGCACGTCTCCTCCTTCGCATTCTGGCACTTCGCCCAAGCCTGGTTCCAAGAATTCCCCTTCTACGCTCCCCGCGACGGAAAAATCTCCCTCGCCGCAGAATCCTACGGAGGAAAATACGGCCCAGCATTCTCCGCCCTCTTCCAGGAACAAAACGAAAAAATAAAAAACAACACCTGGAAAGTGGCCGGGGAACAACACATCCTCCACCTCGACACCGTGATCATCGTCAACGGCTTCGTCGACTCCGCCCTAAACTTCCCCTCATACCCCGACTTCACCCAAAACAACACCTACGGCTTCAAAACCGTCAACGAAACAACGTACAAAAACATGACCAGATCCATCCCCACCTGTCTCGAAAAACTCAACGTTTGCCAAAACGCCTCGAAAAAATTCGACCCGGATCAACTCGGTCTCAACGACACCGTCAACAACCTGTGCATCGACGCCGCAGATTTCTGTAACACGTACATCCAAGGCGCCGGAACAGATCCCACCGCCCTGACGCGAGATTTCTACGACATCTCTCTCCAAAGACCCCAGCAAGCGCGCGTGCCCTTTTTCAAACAGTTTCTCCAACAACCACACGTCCAGTCCGCCATCGGGGTGCAGAAAAACTGGAGCGCGTGCGATAATCCCGCGGGCAACGCGTTCTACTACGTCGGCGACGGGTCGACATCGGGATATCTGGACAAACTCGCGTACCTTCTCGATTCCGGGATCAAAGTCAACTTGCTGTATGGAGATCGAGATTACATTTGCAATTGGTTTGGCGGGGAAGCGATTTCGCTCGCGATTCCTTGGAAGCATCAAAAAGAATTTGCGGAGGCGGGGTATGAGGATATCCGTGTGAATGCGAGTTATGTTGGGGGACAGGTGAGGCAATATGGGCCTCTTTCTTTTACGAGAGTGTTTCAGGCGGGTCATACGGTTCCTGGGTATCAGCCGGAGACGGCTTGGAGGATTTTTACGAGGGCGTTGGGGAGTCAGGATGTGGCGACGGGGTTGAAGGGGATTCAGGATAAGGATGGGAAGTGGTATGCGAGTACAGGGCCGAAGGATTCGAGGAGTGTGAAGAATGTTTTGCCGCCGCAGCCGAAGGTGATTTGTTATGTGGGGGATGTGAATGGGACTTGTACGAATGAGCAGTTTGCGAGTCTTTTGACGGGAAAGGCGGTGGTCAAGAATTTCTTTTTGGTGAATGAGAATTCTACGGCGGAGTATCCGCAGTTGGTGGGTGGAGGTAAATGAGATAGAAGTCCGTATTGTGCGGTGAAAGTCGATCGGGCACAGGCACCTTTTCACGCGCTACACCGTCTTCTTCTTCATCTTCTGCGGTGCGGATCATGGATGGCTGTGCCTTGATCATCTCGCCGTGCAGTCCAGATTGAATAATCTCTCGCCATACTGATTGAACGTAGGATAGGACGACGAGCATGAGCTCCCGAGGCAGCGTGCCGAATGCATCGCCATGAGAGCGATCGAGACGAGCATGGATCGGTAGACTGAAGACGCCAGGCAACTCCAAGTCCTTCAAACGGAAGCCAAAATTCTGCAAACGACTACTAGAAAAAACTCCCATTTACAACGAACGCTTTACTTTCTCCCTTCCTCGCTCGAACGCATCCATTATTCATCCAAATCATGAAAAGTCCGTACAATACCACAGTAACGCACCATCCAACGGAAGACGCAACGACAGTCCTCTCCTCTTCTCTTACTTGAAATACTCCTCCGCACCACCATGACTTCCAGTCGCAGTAGGACAGTCCGTGCCAAGTCCGCTGTCGCTCGGGGGAGCGTATATCCTCTGCAATTCCTTGCGGTCCAGCTCTTCGCGCATGACTTCTTGTACAGCGGCTTCGATTTCACTGCTAGTGGCCTGAAGAGGAGCCACGCTGCTGACTTCGGATTCGAGAGTGCCAGTGGTGTCGACGGTTCGCACTGAGTCCATCCGGCCGACGCTGGAAGTGGGCTCCGTTTGCTCGGCAACAGTGGAAAGTTCGGAGCGAGGCAAGATCGAAAGGGTGTCTTCGTCTTCGCGCTCAGCACCGAGGTCTGCGGCGGCAGAAGAGCCTCCGAGAGAGGTGCGCTGGTCGATGTCGCTGCCAGTGAGGTACGAGCCGGTCAGATAGCTGCCAGTGTCGAAGGTCGCATCGCTGGCTGCATATCCGCTCTGGCGACCTCCATCCTCGCTCATTGGCGTCACGTCCTCGCGCTCACCGTCAAGGTAGCTACCATTTGCGTAAGAGTCGGTGCCGCTGAGGTAGCTCTGACGACGAGTAGTGTCAGCTTCACTCGGAGTCTCCATTTGATGCTCAGATTCATCCTCCTCAGACAAAGTCTCGTTCTCTTTGTTCGCTTCCGCAAGCGAAGCCGCGCGCTTCTGATGGCTCCAAGATGGCTGACGGGCGAAGTTCTGCTTGACTGAATGGCTTCGCTTAACGTTATTGAGCGCACTCAGCGGCTTCGCAGAAGTGAAAGCAGACGCTCCATTCGGCACATTGTGGTTGATCTGGTTCAGTGACACGATGCGTCGCTCTGCAGTGTTCGGCATTGCCCCGTTCCGTGCGAGTCCTGGACGAGTCTTCATTGCCAAAGCATGGTTCGCTTGAAGTGGAGGCACCGTGGAGGTCACGGTCTGCGCCGAGACAGCAGAAGCACTGCTTGGAACGCGAAGGTCTCGACCTTGAGGCTTCTTCTTCTGTGGCGAGGTCGCTTTTGGAGTCTTGGCCAAAAGCAACATGCGGGACTGGTTCATCACCCCTTCCAGCATACGGCGTTCGATTGCAGCAGCCTTGATGTCCATGTCGTGTAGCTCCTCACGACGAATATGCAAGGCAGTCTCCATCGAGGAGACATCCGCATTCAAGCGTGCCTTCTGTGCAGCAAGTGCCTCCTTCTCCGCCTTGAGCTGCTCCACCATGGCATGGAGAGTTTCTTTCTCTTCGTTCAGGACTGTGATATCAGCCTCGAGCTGGTCCTTACGCTCCAGACGACGCTCGAGAAGAAGTGCAATCTCCTCAGCTTCCTTCTCCTTGCTCTCATGCACATCTTCGATTTGCTTGTTCTGCGTGATGACGAACGCAGATATCTCCGCAGCGGTAGCCATGACCTTTTCATGGATTTGTTCGAGACGTTCGAGCTGAGTCGATCGCTCAGAGGCTTCTTGCACATGGCCCATGAGCTTATCGAGCTTCTCGTGAACAGCAGCATCATCGTACTTCTCCACTGGAGCGGCAGCTTCAACAGGTGGTGGTAGCAAACCGGGAATTGCTCGCTGCATTTCCTCTTGGTGAGTCCTGAAGCTGTCTGCATGATGGGTCTTTGACTCTTCGAACCCAGCCTTGAGCGCATCGTGAAGATCTTTGACGGCTTGCGCCTGCTCCTCTCGAGCGGTAGACGCTTGTTTCGAGTGCTCATAGTGCTGATTGATGATGGCTCGGACCTCTTCCAGAGCGACGATGACACGCGGGTGGTGCTCAGACATGTCAGTCTGCACAACATCGACAGCCGCCAGAACTCGTGAGACTTCATCGCGAGTGGCCGTATGTTCGCCTTTCAACGCCTCACTTGTCTCTTCGAGCTTGTTGTGTGTGCTCTCGACTTGCGCGAACACAGTCTTGGACTCCTCAGTCATCTTCTCGACCTGAGCAGGCAGGTCTCCCATGAAGGCGGTTAGAGTGGCGCCGAGCGTGTCGATTGACAGCTTCAGGTCATCCGCCATAGACTTTGTACTGTCGAGCAACTCCTGCTGCTGAGCAGCCTTCTCTTCCATGGTCTTGGCCTTCTCCTCAGCTGCAGTCTGCGCATCGTCGTACTTGGACATCATGCCATCGAAGAGACCATCCAGCTTCTCTCCAAGCTCTGTAACGATGCCAGTCTTGTGTTCCGACTGCTTTTCCAACGAACTCTCGGTTGAAGCTGCATGGTCGACCTTGATTGCTTCGATGGAGGAGTGAGCACGCTCGAACTCTTCCTTGAGCTTCTCCATGACATCTTTGACTTCAGCGATGACATCTTCATTATTCGAGCGCTCTTCGATGCCCTTGAGCGTCTCGCCTAGAGTATTGATGCCAACTTCACCATCGCTGACTTTGTCCATAAGCTCCACCTTGACCTCAGTGAGCAGAGTCTTGACTTCTTCAATCTGTGCCACTGTATCATCAAACTCCTTCTTGCGATCATCGAAGGCCTTGGCGGTGACAGCAATGTCGGTCTCGTAGCTGTCACGCATCTTATCATGACTCTCGCGGAAGTCAGAGATGAGACCTTGAAGCTGCTCAATGTCCGACTTAGTCGGCATCGTCTCGACATCTGGCAAGGTCATCTCGTTGACAGTGGTCTTGATTTCTGTGCAGATGACTCCGAGGACATCAAGATCCGCCTTCGTGACGAACTCTGGCTTCTCTTCAGCAGAGGCATGCCTCTCTTTGAGCTCTTCCAAGAGAGCTTTGGTATCAGTGGCGAGAACCTCTACCACAGCAACATCGGTCTTCGTCGCGACCGATGTGTCTAGCTTTTCAACCAAGCTGTCGAGAGCATCATGTGCCATGCGCACGGCTGTTTGCACTTCTTCAAGATGCTCTTTACTTGCGGTCTTCTCCGGGTCGGGAAGCACCAGTTCCTCAATTTGGGCCTTGGTGTTGCGCAAGAGCGTCTCGATGGCGTCGGTGTCCTCCTTGCGAGCAGCGCTTTCAGGAGTAGGCTCATCACTCTTGGATGCAGCTAGACTGACAACACTCTCTTGCAGCTCGCGAATCATGCTTTCCAATGCCGCAAGGTCGTCCTTGACTGTGATATGTTCTGGCATGGTCGACGCTTGATGTGCTGGCATATCTTGCATGGTTTGGTCCATAGCCTCGATCTTGATCTGCAGTTGAGCAAGCAAGACCTCGACCTTCTCGAAGTCCTCACGATTGATGCCACTGCCAGCTGCGGTGGCAGGTGCTGGAGATGCATCCTCAGCTCCGATGTCGCGTGTACGGCCAACAGCAGTGCCGTCTGCGAGTACTATCTCGCCGCCCTGAGGCGAGACAGGTCGACCATCACGGGACGTCAATTTGTCCATTTCAGAGCGCAGCCCAGCAAGACCGTCTTTGAGCGTATCAAGAATCTCATAGTTTACGGTCTGGTCCAGTGGCTTGTCGAGAGTCTTGACAATGTCGCCCCGCAGGCTCTCCAGGCCCTCGTTGAGTGCGTCGAGGACTTGTGTATGGTGCTGCATGACGGTCTCAGGGTTGTCAAGCTTACGCTCGAGATGCGATCGAAGATCGTCAAGACCAAGGCGAACGGCGTCAAGAATCTCCTCCTTGTCGCCGCTGTGCACGACGCTGCTTGCGATTGAATTGCGGAGGTTCTCAAATTCTCCCCGAATAGCCTCCAGCTGCTCAATGGAGATACCCTGAGTCCCGTGCTTGGCGAGCGTCTCCTTGATCTCGTCAATACCTGCGCGAACTGATTCCAAATCTTCGCTGTCTTCTCCAAGACTGCGTTCACTGCCGCTCCGCTCACTTCCAGCAGCAGGAACCACAGCGGATCCCAAAGTGTCCTTGAGTGCCTCGAGCTCTTGGCGTATAGCTGCAAGAGCTTCAGCGGAGGCGTCGCTTTGGTCGCTCAGCATCTGAGTGCGCAGATCATCCACAGTCTGCCTCACAGAGAGTGCGATGCCGTCCCTGTCGATGTCACTGATCATGGCGTGTATCGACTCCTTTAAGGTAGCAAGTTCCTCGCGAACGGTGAGAATGACTTCCTCGGTGGAGCTCATGGTGGAAGTGCTCAGCTCCGTGCCATTGAACTTGGCATGTAGCGCTCCCATACTGTCTTGAATGGACTCCACCAGCTCGCTCTTGTCGCTAGCGTGAGCGTTGAGGATGGCCGCCTTGAGCTGTTCAAATTCATCCTTCATCGCCTCGTTGAGATCATCATTAGAAGTAATGTCCTCGTTGCGGGCCTCGAGGTGGGCTTTGAGGTCATCAAATCCTTCTTTCAAAGCGATGACAACCGCGGTGGTCTGACCAGCATTGGAGTCTGCCACATCTCGGACTGAACCAGTGTTTTGAACGGCTTCGTGAAGGTGCTCGAACTCAGCCTTGATGTACTCTAGCATCTCTGCTCTTCCACTGTCGACGGAGGGACCTTCTGCGCAGAAGCCGCGGACGTCCTCTCTAAGCTGTTCGAGCCCGAGCTTGACCGTGTCGACAATCTCGTCCTTGCCTGTCACATCCTGGGCGCGATCGACGTATGTTTCGATCTCTGCACGCAAAGATTCCAGGCCGTCCTTGAGGGCGTCCAGTACTTGCTCGGTGTCGCGGCCATTTGCGGCGGAGTACTGCTTGAACTCGACGCGCATGTTCTCGATGAGCTCCTTCAATTGACCCAGGACTTGCTCACCAAGGTCGCCGAATGGGATGGTAGTGCCGTCCAAGCTAGCCTTGACTGCGTCGAAGAGATCTTCGCGACTAATTTCGATCTCACGCGGCGCTGCAGGTCCATGGTTCTCCATACCTGACTTTACTGCCTCAAATACAGCTGCTTGCATGACTTCATGGTTTGTTGTGTCTGCTGTAGGCGGTCTGAACTCCTCCAATGCTTGTCGTACATTGCCAAGAATGTCTTCTCGGAGGCGCTCGAGCTGCTCTGCTGGATAGGGGGCTTCGAAGTTCTTCAGCGCTTCTTGCATGACTTCGTACACATCGCCCTTGTCGATCTGGGCCGGCGAGGGTTCTGGCTGATTGCTTCGGTACTCTTCCAGGCCTTCCTTGAGGACAGCCAGGATCTCATCGCGCTCCAGACCAAATTGTTGAAGCTCGATATTCGGCTCGAAGTCCTTCAAACCATCCTTCACGGCGTCCAGCACTGCATCACGATCCAGGCTGATATTCTCTTCTTCGGGCTTCTCGACGGACTTGTGGTGTTCATGCAAAGCGTGTTGTACTACTGCAAGCATGTCATCGTTGTTCGGCCCAGAACGTGCTACTGCCAGCTGCTTGAAAGTGTTGTCGTCTTGTTCGGCACGTTCTTTGAGCATGCTCGTCAGACTCTGCTTGAGCTCGGCGAGGCCGTCTTCCACAATCTGCTGCACTTGCTCGAGGTGCTCAGAGTCCTTGCTTTCATTAATCGACCTGTCCAGCGTGCCGGTCAACTGAGTCTCGCTGATCTGGTCGAGCTTCCTGCCGAGCTCGCGGCCCATGCCCAGGACCTCCCCTCGAAGATCACGAACCAGACCTTTGGTTTCTGATGTAGTACCACCGGAGTGTGTGACGGAGTCCTTCAAACGCTGCAGCATCTTCATCACCTCGTCATCATTCGATCCGCGACGTGCTCCTGATTTGGCCTTGGGAGAATCGAAGTTCAACTCAAGCTTAGGTGGTGTACTACCGATCGGCACCAAGGCTTGTGACTCCGACCTCTCGCGAATAAAAGCGGATAGCTCTTCCACCTTCTTCGCGGCTTCCTTGTTCTCCTTGCCGTTCTTCTCCAACAGCTCCGACAGAGTACCGAGCAGTCTGTCCTGGCCCTCCTTGGTGACCATCTCGCGAATGATCTTCTCGAGCATGGCAACGCTGGCAACTCCTTCGACTGAGTATGGAGAGGGCGAATCACAGCGATCCATCTCCAAAAAGCTGTGCGCGCTAGCTGCTCGTGGCAGGCCAAAGTTCTTGGCCACTGATGGAGGAGAGGTAAAAGCTTTGTTATCCAGGAATTGGCTATGGCTCATACTACGCTCGGTTCGAGCAGCGGCAAACGGAGGTGGCCCTAACAGGCCCGCTGGCCCCGAGACTGATTGTGCCAGCTCCTTCAGGCTTTTGCGAATGTCTTCGTCTCGCGAGTTCGTAGCTTCCTTGAGAGTTAGCAAGTCAGTCGCATTATCCTTACTGCGCCTGCTCAGTTGCGACATCTCCTTTTGCAGATTGGTGGCGATGGTGGTGAGATTCAGCAATTGCCTGGAGAAGTCATAGTTGGTGTGCACTCTCGTGCCGCCTGGAGTGGTGGACGCGTTCACCATGTCGGCAAAGGGAGGCGGATCCGGCAGCTGCATCGTCTGAAGTGCCAACATGGTGGCTGATGGGGGAGTATTCTCGCCCAGAATCGATCGTGGTGGGAGTCGCGTCGTCGGGCGCTGGGTGGGCGTTTGCTTGCTCGGTTCTCGCTCCAGTGGTGTCGATGTGTCTGAGCGGTTCGGGGTGGGTGACACGTGGTCGACACTGTTCACGCGGCTGTATGCGGGCATATACGAGCTCCGCGATGTCGGTCTTTCTGGCGAGCGATCTGGGGATCGGTTTTCAAGGTAGCTCCTCAGGTCCTTGACGGGGCTGGTCTGCAACGACTGCATGCGCTTGTGGTGGGCGCCCTTGACCAGAGTCCGCTCAGGCAGAGCATCGCTGTTCCGGTTGCTGGTGTATGAGGAAATGGGAGCACTCTCGCGCGCCTTCTCGACCATCTGCTTGGCCGCGGCGGCAATACCGGCGGATGTGTTCGCCTTGGTGGTGGGCGTGTCGACCGATGGGTTCAGTGGGAGCGGCGGCGGTGCGCGGGCTGGGTCGGAGCTGTCCCACCTGCGTTTGATGGCCGTCAGCAAAGTCATCCTCGCCCCTCCATCCCGTGAAGTCCTGTATCATGCCGAGTCGTGTGTACGGCGCGTGTGCATCAACCATCGCATTGTATGGCGGAGGACTCACATGGGGACGCTCGCCCGTCCGCTGCTCTCGCTCCAGGAATGCTGATGCCGGGAGTCTCGCTCGCGAGAGCTTTCCCGGTCGTAGCTCGACATTGTATGCTACTCGAGCCGAATCGTGGAATGCGCGTGTCTGGAATGCGATCGGAGACACCGGATACAATCCCACTCCCCATCCAAACCAAAGCTGTACAATTTCCCTCCTCGGACCAGAATGGAGGTGGAGATCTAGAGCGAAGGTGGACGGCAGAGTCAGACGTGGGAGCGTTGCACGGAACCAAAAAGCCGCATGAATCTGTCAGAGTGTCTGTCCCAGAGCGGACGACGGTCGACCATGCGGCGCTTCAAAACAATGCGCTGGCTGCACACCTCGCCCTAGCAACCGGGTGAAGCCGCGCTTGTGCACGCCGAGTCAGCATCGACCCTGCATCTCCAAAAGAATTTCGATATCGATAGCAGTGCACTCACGCTCTGCTCTCGTATTCCACCGCCGCCGCCGCCGCCGCCGCCGCCATGCCCAAGTCCGCGCGCAAAAACAGCAATGGCATCACAAAATCCGACCCCTACGCCGGAGCTTCATCGCGCAAAGCCAAGGCTGGAGCCATCAAGAACAACGTCTTTCGCATGAACACAGACCTCGGCCAGCACATTCTGAAAAATCCAGGTGTGGCTCAAGCAATTGTCGACAAGGCAGATGTCAAGCAGTCGGATGTAGTGTTGGAGATCGGCCCGGGTACGGGGAATCTGACAGCGCGCATACTGGAAAAGGCAAAGAAAGTTGTTGCAGTGGAGATGGATCCTCGCATGGCTTCAGAAATCACCAAGCGCTTCCAAGGCACACCCGCAGCGAAGAGATTGGACTTGATTCTGGGGGATGTGATCAAGATGGAGAAGCTCCCATACTTTGACGTTTGCATATCAAATACGCCCTACCAGATCTCCTCACCACTCACATTCAAGCTTCTGGCTACATCTCCCTCACCGCGCTCGTGCGTACTCATGTTTCAACGAGAATTTGCCATGCGACTGTTCGCGAAACCGGGCGACAAGCTGTACTCGCGATTGAGTGTGAACTGTCAAATGTGGGCGAAAGTGGATCATGTCATGAAAGTCGGCAAGAACAACTTCAACCCACCACCACAAGTCGAATCGAACGTCGTGCGAATCTCGCCGAAGAATCCTCGCCCACAAATCAGCTACGACGAGTGGGATGGCTTGCTCAGAGTCTGCTTCGTGAGGAAGAACCGAGTGCTGAGAAGTGCCTTCATTGGCACGAATACCGTCATGGCTATGCTCGAGTCGAATTACCGCACTTTCTGCGCTCAGAACGACATACCTCTCGACGAAGGCCCTCTAGAAGGCGGCGATGAAGATATGGACGTCGATGCAGCTGCGGAAAACGAGGAAGAGGATATCATGATGGATATGGACGAAGACGATGATCTACCAGACTTCTTCAAGGAAGAGGCAGAGAAGAAGGCGAAAAAGCTCGCAGACAATCCAAATCGAAAGAGGAAAGGCAAGGTTGCGGAACTGGTGAGATCAAAGGTGAAAAAGGTACTCGAGGAGAACAATCTCGCCGAAAAGCGCGCTCGAATGTGCGATGAAGGAGATTTCCTGAAAATGCTGTACGGCTTCAACCAGGAAGGCATCCATTTTGCATAAATGGCGAGCAAAGATGTACGTTACGGCACGGACAATGAGCAGCATGATTATGATACCCAAATGACTTCAACTTCCCCGTCTCTAACATTCCGTCTCTAGCCCTCAGGAACGATTGGAGCCCACATGTCAGTAATCATAACCTCCAATAGAAGCTGATCCCCAGATCAGTCGTGTCGGAAGCACTGTGCTTGGTTTAGGACAGGATACCGATACTTGGGTGGGCCAGCTGTTCATAAGACAGCGTTCCTACTCCGGTATCGATGATGAGGGCTTCGCCATCCTTCCTGACAGGCTAATCGCTACGCAGTGCCTGAACTTTCCATGGCGGAATTTGTTCCGTGGGCCAACGTTGGCTGCTCCAGCCGGGCCAAGCATCGCCGCATTTCTGATGGCAAACGGTTGACAGGGCCGGATGCTTTCGACTTCACGCCAGAGTTTGGACCCGATATGTGTAGAACTACCAAATGCCGCGGTGGGCCCGCAGGACGATATCTTCCCGGTCTACGGCACTCGTCGACCGTCGTTTCGGCAGCACGCTCAAGCCGATTTTGAACGTGGATGCCGAAAGACCAACACCTTCTGACTTCTCGATCGCCGGCATGCTTACCATATGCCCCGGGGATGACCCTGTGCCAGATACAGGACACCTCGCTGTCGAAGAGGCGCTCGCTTCACAACAAGTATCATCAAGAATATACAACATACATGCGCAGTCGGGGGGGCCACGGCGGATCAAGGTATGGCATACGGGTCCAATGCTTGACCCAAAGGACACGGTGGGCTCGAGCGTGGCATATTTGCCGTGGGGTCACCCAAGAAACGGCTGAAGTTCTCTACTGCTCATCAGAGCACTTCATCCAACATGCTAGAGCCCGCGGATAAAGTTAAACAGCCAATCGTGATCAAGCAAGCAAGAATTTTTTTCACCGACAGCGCATATCAGACCGTTGAAAGCTTTGCCGATTGTAGGAACAGAGTCGATATCCGTTGACAAACTCTTGGCTGCTCTAGAGTATATTCGATCGGAAGATCTCCATTGATCTTCACAACAGCTTTATTAACACTTTGCATTTCATCTCAATCTGCCACTGTGATGGATGGCTGCCAGCACCTTCTTTGTGCTGGACTCCTGGCAGCTGGCCCCGGTCAACCAGCCTCACGATGTTATCATGAAGCAAGATCAAAAGCCCAGACCATTCCACGCGCTCATCTGGTCAATGCCTTGAAAAATCTTAACTACCAAGCCAGGCCGTATGTCGTTTCACAAAACAACCGCAGCCACTCCACACATCTCATAGCAATGCATCAACCCCTCCATCGACCTCTTCTGGAGAGCAAGGACGTACAATCACGCTCTGCTGGCGATTGGTCCAGCGATAGGCTCAGCCTGTGGCCAGATGTGCGGCGGCCCATGGAGCTTACTCGGGCACCTGATGGAGTGCCATGGAAAGAAGTGGCGACGTGGATGATTGCAATCTCTTGAAAAGTGATGCGCTGCACCGCAGGATTCATGTAATTGATAAAACTACCTTCCTTCCGTTGCCCTCAAGATGAAATCAATAATCTCCCGCTGGAACCATGGGAGGTACGTCTCCGCCGCCCACTGCATCAAAACTTGCAAGCTAGCAACAATCTGATAGCACCGAGTAGAGACTCTGTCGATCGAAAAGTGACCACAGTTGCAGAGCGTCTGCAGCGTCGACAAAGCTTTCGATTGGTAAAATAACGTGTATCGGCGTTAGAGTAGAACGTACAACGTCGCTTCCATGATCAACCAACAAACAGCCTGCTTCTCCATATACAAACTCATCATGGACTTAACCATAGAATCCGTTTAGGGGATTCGCGATCTGTTTACGGCTAGAAGTTTCCGAAACAACAACAGCAAACCAACCCCCAAAAACTATACACATTCATTCTATTCCATATTATTATACCTCATTTCGATATTAAAGTACCCGCCTATAGGGACCTGGTGAGGCCACCAACGGCTTAAAGTTGTCCTCGGATTGACGGGTATGTTGCTGAAATAAGAATTGTTGTCAATGTGCATCGTTACATGATAGCACGAAGGATTGTTGAGTTCAAGTTGGACACCCGTACGTTGAGTCCCTCCGACATATTGGACTCGTTGAGGGTCCTGGACAGTAATTGTCACCTCGTCTTCAAATCCTACCGATGAACCTTGGGAGTTCTCCAGTTGGCCTGCTTCTTCGTTCATAGGGACGACCTGGCAATGTGGTCGCGTTTGTCTTGCTTCGAAAACGCTGCCAGGGGTGACTTCGGATTCTGTAGGATCTCTCGGCAGGAAGCGGACCAGTGCATTGCTTTCAGTCGGTAGAGCAGTGGATAGAGCAAGCAGAGCTGCTAGTTGACAGAGCAAGCGGAGAGATACCATTTTTTCCGTAGCTTGATGGAGGGATTGATCGTCGATGTGTGTCCTTGGGAGCCCTGATATTCGTAGGTACTATTTCGAGCTGGCGAGGGACGCACGTCTGTTATATAACGAGCGAGAAAAGTTCTACTAAGTCTGGAGGATTTCAAGTGCCGAGACTAACCTGCTAGATGTATTGAAAGATCTACAGCGTCTGAGTATATCGGAGTGAAAGTGACTAGGCGTGGACCGCTGAATGGCAAGTTGCTATTCGCTGTAATCCTTACTTCTCAAGGATTTGGGGAAGACCTGCTTTCAACTCCGATGTGCTCAGACGCTGTCACGCGTCGCTGTGCTACGTTACAGTGGTATCGTAGGTGAATGAAAGAGTTAAGGTTCTCGAGGGGACCCATTCAAACGCTGTATAGACCCCTGTTGTTGTGAATCGTGCTAGGGATGCAACTAATCATCGGATTGACAACTATGTAACTGTACAAAGAAGAATTAGGAGCCTGCTATAGAAACTGTAGTTAATATACCTATTATATGTCCTTCCTCTTAGTATAGGTCAGCTAATAGTATCAGCTGACTAGCATATTACCTAACTGAACTACAATACTCCCCCTTAAGTAGAGATAATATACTGTTTAGATTGGATACTTTAAATTTAGGCTTAGAGCTTCACTTTATCTTCTAACTGCCTTTAGATATTAGACTATATCTGCTTTATATATAGCTTTATATGCTATACTACTTGCACGTACTTGTATTACATTGTTTACTAATTAGTTTGCTTTAGAGTAATATCCTTAGTCGTAATTATAGGGTTAGTAGGCGCCTATAAAAGATACTTAAACTTAACTAGACAACTTAAACTTTTACAATCCACTCTTTAGCAATCCCCTAAGTACTAGCCGTCTCTACTAGATTTTAAATTCTTACTAAGACCTTTTAAGTCTAATAGCCAGTCGAGACTTTATTATAGCGATAATTCTTTACCCTAGCCTAGGGAGTATAGCGAGTAGTATAGGTAGTAGTAGCAGCGGCGGCGGTAGTAATAATCTAAATAAGAATCGGCACCCTTCGCGTTATAATAAGCTCTAACTTGTAAAGACTAGTAAGTATTGCTATTAGAGTTTCCCCTTTTCTAACAATTTGCTAACTAGGCGCAGTCCTTAAGGAAGTTTAGTTAACTATCGCGATTCTCTAGAGAATTATCTAGTACTTAACCAATATTAGTCCGGAGTAGACTCCGCCTTAGCTGCGCAACGTTAATGTTAGGCATTTTATTACGAGCTAGGATAATACTCGGCTATTTCTAAGTATGCCTCCGCGTCTACGTAAGGCGGCTAAGGCATTCAATTTAGGCTTGAAATCGAATATTAACTACTTACCTACCGCGCTTGTATATGCGGCTGCTACTAGACGCGTGTATACTAGTAACAGCTAGTACGGTCCTTGTAAGCAGTTAAAGGGTCCGTACTTAGAGTATATAACTCTAAGTTATCGAATCAACGGTTAGGATATCGCTTTCCTAAAGGGCGCTTGCACTAACTGTGCTAGTCTAAATTATTATAGTTAATGCGAGTTCTCTAGTAAGTTGAATCTAGTCTTATACATTTTTTTTAAAGCAAAAACACTAATCCTTTTGTTAGGTTACGTCTCTCGGCTACGCTCTAATACGAATCGTTAGACGCCTATAGTGCCTCTACCGCCTCGCAATCCGGGGAGTAGAGCAGGTACTAATTAGCGTCGTCTATACGTGCTAGTCCCGTCTAGCATCGATTAGAGTACTCCTTAGGGCGCCTAGGTAGTAGCAAATTTGCTACTATAGTAGGCAAATGCTTATACCTAGGCTGCTACTTAGGGACGTAGTCGTAGTCTAGGTTCTAGGTTGTCTACTAGTCCTAGCTCGACTCGTAATTCTAGTAGTCCTTAGAGGGGTTTCTCTAATTACGAAGATAGTAATACTAAGATAGGTAGCTAATTAGGGAGATTCGGTTTTTTCTAGTAGATAGAGAGCTATAATATATATTTTCGATTTTGAAATAGGCTAGGCAGTCTAGATTAGTAAAAGCCTTATAGTATTAGAGAGTTTCTAACTCTTAAGGGCTAGGGTATTTCTTCCTACTTAGTCTCAATATTATTATAAAAGAAATTTTGCAGCTTAGACTGTATAGTGCAGCTAGGCTGTTTCTAGAAATTAGAATGAAATTCAATAAGTATATAAAGCTTGTTTTCTAATCCTATAAATAAGATTTTTCTTTCTAAAGGAGTAACTTAGGAGTTTGTCCTAGAGACGCTGTATTATTAGAGAATTTTGTTTAGAGATTTAGGCTTAGTGAAACAGTCCGCTAGCTGTTTGTTAGTAGTAACGAATTCGACACTAATCTTTCCCTAGGCATACTGTTCTCTATAGTAGTAGTTCCTAAGGGAAACGTGCCTCGACCTCTTAGAATTTGTATAGTCCTTAATAAGGGAAATAGCTAACTAATTGTCTACTTAGACGTAAATCCTATTAACTTCTTCCCTAGTAAGTAGTTGAAGCTTAGTTATCAAATTTCGGAGCTAGCAGATTTCTCTATATGCTTCTATTAGAGCAATATACTCTGCTTTAGTACTAGAGAGTACGACTTCCTTCTAGAGCTGTAATCTCTATATAATTAGAGTATTGTTAAGAAGCATAAGGGCGCCTAATATTAATCTTAATAATAAAGGGTTACTAGCAAAGTCTGCGTTAGAGTATGCCTGAAATTCTAAAGTTTTCTTCTTTCTAAAGATAAGTCCTTTGTCAACTATGCTAGCAATATACCTCTAGAGATGTTTAGTAGCTATAACATACTTAGGTCCGGGATTCTAAAGGAACCTAGCAAGGTAGTTGACGGTATAGCTAATGTCTAGTCTAGTCTAGTTAGCTAGAAACTGCATTTCACTAATTATAGTATTAAATAGCTAGTAGTCCTAACGGTTATAGGGGGTTGTAAGAGGCTCGTAAAGCTTCTTAAGTAGATGCTTTATTAGCTTGTACTAGTCTAAGCTATACTTCTAAAGCTTCTCTTTAGTATAGTATATCTAGGAGACAGTAAGGTTTCCCTCCTTGTCTTCCTTTAGATAAAGGCCTAGAAATAGGTTAGACGTAACAATCTTAATTATATACTTCTTACGAAGACCTTCAATTAGAGCATCGATCTTTACCTTAGAGGTTCTAAAGATTTAGAAGTTATCTATATAAAGGAGGATAAGAATACTATTACCTTACTATAGGCAATAGTCACTCTTTATCCTACTTAGGCCAAGTTAACGAAGAGTGTCTAAAGCATTATAGTACTAGAGATTAGCAGCCTGCTTAAGGCTATACAATCCTTTTCTAATACGGATAATCTACTTTAGAGGATGCTTCTTAAATAGGTGCGCGCCTTCTAGGGGTCTAATAAAAATTTCTTTATCTAGAGGGGGATTTAAGAAAGCAGTCTCGATATTAACCTGTCTTCGCTTCTAGTTTTTGTTTACTAAAAGCCTAAGGACAAGTCTAGCAGTAGCTACTCTTAGTATAGGAGTATAGGTGTTAATATAGTCAAGACCTTGCTTCTATATAAAGCCTCTAGCTGTCTATCTTGCCTTATATTTATCAATAGAGCCGTCTAGCAGGTATTTAATCTTAAAAACCCATTTTCCTATTAAAGGTATTCTGCCTTTTAGTAGGGATTCGGCTAGAATCTACTCGATTGCACTAGACTTTTTAAGAGACCTTATCTCTTTTATAACGGCTTTTCTCTATTCATCCTAGTTAGGCCTTTTTAGGGCTTTAGCTAGGGTTGTTAGGTTAGCTAGCTTCTAAGTATCTTTTATAGTAGCAGCTATAGCAATCTTAGTGATCTTGCTATAGTTATGCTTAGCTACGGCTCTGCTAGACCTAAGTCGTACTTCGGCTTAAGGAGGGTTTAGCTAAGGTAGGTTAGGAGCCCTCTTTTTCTTACTAGTAGTCTTAGGGACTTAGAAGGGAGTGATTGGGGTGTCTTCTAGTTTAGCAGTATCTGTTTCTTAAGTGTGCTGATTTTTCTTAGGAGTAGCTTCCTACTAAGTAGCTAGTAGTTCTAGTTAGTAATTTTAGAGTGTTAGCTTATTAGCTGTAGGTATTAGCTAAGGTAGTATTCCTTGCTTAAGTGTACCTTGCTCCCCCTAAGCTATAAGGGAGTCTTCCTAATCTTCCTAATTATAAGCCTACTAAGGCTAAGGGATGCTACCTCCAAATGGCTCCCCCTAAGGTTCTAAAGGGTACTTAGGAGCTTAGTGAAATTGTCTTTATAGATAAAGTCCTCGTTAAAGGTAACGTATAGAGAGAATCTGATATTATGCTGCTATACGCTATCCTTCTAGTGCGGGTTCCAAAGCAGATAGTTTGTTAATAAATTTTCTTAGAATCTAATAAACTAGTAAACGAAAGCTCTTAGTACAAATTTCTAGGAGTTAAGTCGTTCAACCCCGGATTCGAGGTATTTGAATACCTTATAGCTAAATCGTCTCGTCTTAGACAGGTCAATGTCTATACTACCGATATTCAAGTCTAATTCGAAAGCCTTAAGTAGAACTTCCTTAGTTCTTAAGTTTACTAGTCTATTAGTTAGGTAAATCGAATGCATTACTATAAAGCACTAGCAGTATATTAGTAGGCTAGAGTTAATTATTATTGCTCTTGCCTTAAGTAGAATCGTCTTGTTTAACGACTCTGTAATACTATTCTGCTCCGGTGTATATAGTGCAGACACATCCTATCTAATACTAACTTCCTCTACAAAATATACTAGATCGTTGTTAGTAAACTCTCCTCCGCTATTACTAAAGATAATCTTAGGGATTTTGTTATATTGCCTCTTGATTCTAGTTATCTAGTTGGTTAGCTTGTTACTACTTGTTACCTTATCCTTATTTCGAAGTAATAGACCCTACCTAAGCCTAGTTTTAGCATTAGTTAGGATTATAATGTACCTATTTCTAAATAGATTAAGTGGTTGTACGCTAACAAGGTCAATATAGACTTCGTTAAGGGCTTTTTCTAGT